AGACATTTTTTTTGCGGGGTGGCCCTTTTTTTCTAGTTCCGCCACTGGCATACAGACAAATATAGAACATACAAATAAACATTTTATGTGAGAAGGAAGGAGGAAAAAGAAGAGATGGAATCAACAATCAGGTAGTCGAGTCCTCTGGGTGTCCTTGTGACGCCGAACTTGTGTAGATTTCTCTTATCGCGAGACATCTTAAAGTCCTTGTTTGTGTCTTGTACAAAGCTCGGCTTGTGTTGCTAGTGTTTTCATCTGATGTGTCTGGGTGCACCCAGCCAGTGACGGTCTGGGAATGAAATGTCTGGAGTGACAGGACACACTTAATCATGTGAATAAAGTGTCTTTAGGACACACTTAATCATGTGAATAAAGTGTCTTTAGGACACACTTAATCATGTGAATAAAATGTCTTTAATAACAAGACACATTTCATCATGTGAATAAAATGTCTTTAGGACACACTTAATCTTATGAATAAAATGTCTTTAGGACACACTTAATCATGTAAATAAAATGTCTTCAGGACACACTTAATCATATGAATAAAATGTCTTTAATAACAAGACACATTTCATCATGTGAATAAAATGTCTTTAGGACACACTTAATCTTATGAATAAAATGTCTTTAGGACACACTTAATCATGTGAATAAAATTTCTTTAGGACACACTTAATCATGTGAATAAAATGTCTTTAGGGCACTTAATCATGTGAATGAAATGTCTTTAGGACACACTTAATCATGTGAATAAAATGTCTTTAGGACACACTTAATCATGTGAATAAAATGTCTTTAATAACAAGACACATTTCATCATGTGAATAAAATGTCTTTAGGACACACTTAATCTTATGAATAAAATGTCTTTAGGACACACTTAATCATGTGAATAAAATGTCTTTAGGACACACTTAATCATATGAATAAAATGTCTTTAATAACAAGACACATTTCATCATGTGAATAAAAATGTCTTTAGGACACACTTAATCTTATGAATAAAATGTCTTTAGGACACACTTAATCATGTGAATAAAATTTCTTTAGGACACACTTAATCATGTGAATAAAATGTCTTTAGGACACTTAATCATGTGAATGAAATGTCTTTAGGACACACTTAATCATGTGAATAAAATGTCTTTATGACACACTTAATCATGTGAATAAAATGTCTTTAGGACACTTAATCATGTGAATAAAATGTCTTTAGGACACACTTAATCCTGTGAATAAAATTTCTTTAGGACACACTTAATCATGTAAATAAAATGTCTTTAGTGACAGGACACACTTAATCATATGAATAAAATGTCTTTATGACACAATCATGTGAATAAAATGTCTTTAGGACACACTTTGACTTAATCATGTGAATATGATGTCTTTAGTTTAGGACACACTGAATCATGTAGATAAAATGCCTTTAGTTACAGGACACACTTAATCATGTGAATACCCGGTTCTATTTTTATGCAATATATATTTACCCCCACCACAACATATCTATACATTTCCAAAGAGCTTAAATTTCACCTGCTCGAGATCCTCAATATTTTATACCCAGTAAACACAAGCTTACCGTTTGTATGGAGATTAAAATGTCAGTTTATTTCAGGCTATTACTGTGTTTCATGGCGCGCTTACAGAACGTGAATTTGGGACCAGCACCTGGATGAAAGTCGCGGTCGTCTTACATTCAAAGAATTCTTCTATCGCTTTCGATGTATCTAATCTTTGTTCCGTCTTTCATCATGGTGTTGGAATACCGTAAAAAAATTATTTTTATAAACAGGGATTGGAATTGGTGGTATTCGTTTGATACAAAGACCCAACAGGAAGAGAGGCATAAGTGTATCATGTTTTCTAAAAGAAAGATTTTTTTTTAAACGTAGGCTGGGATCCTGTTTGGCTACACATACATACTAGTCAGAGTTTCTTCCCCCCTACCCCCCCCCCAAAGAAAGTATACCGCCCCCCCCCCCGAACGAGATGGATTTTATAGAGTAAACATACACTTTTACTAGTGTCCGCCCCCCCCCCCCCCGAAAATTTCCAGTGCCCCCCCCCCCCCCACCCGTAGAAAAAAGTTTGGAAGAAACACTCATATTAGTTTGTACTGTGAGAGCGTTCACTTTCTGACATTCATAGAAATAATTAAAGTTTTAAATATATTTGACTATTATTTTAACATTCCCACTCCATTACACATTCTATCACAAAGCCACGATGTGAAGATTGGAAAGACAATCCTCGCAGCACCAGAAGGTTATCGCACCCCCCCCCCCCCCCCCATCGTTAGTTTGACAGTGCCACATCATGTCGGAGTTTACCTCCCTTTCAGCGGAGACAAGGTTACTCGCCCTCTAAGTCACGGTAAAAAAAATGTAACGAATGATGGACGATACACATGTCTCCAGAAATCAAAGGCCCCAGATGTGTATTTCACACAAAGTTGTGCTTGTTTCTAATGTGTGGTTCACACAAAGTTGTGATTGTTTGTGATGTGTAGTTCACATAAAGTTGTGATTGTTTGTGATGTGTATTACACACACAGTTGTGATTGTTTGTGATATGTAGTTCACACAAAGTTGTCATTGTTTTATTGTTTGATTTGTCATTTAACATTCCATTACGCTGGGTCCTTGCTTGTGAGAAAAGCTTGGATCTAAAGCTAAACGGTACGGACACGTACACATGTGCACATGTACACGTGTACACATGGCCGCGTGCACTAACACGTACCCGTACACTTAACACGTACCCCTATGAAGCCATTGTGACAATGTAACCGTTTGTCCGGAGGCACCATTAGATTTAGAATAACCGTCGTGTCGCCTGTTTAAATGCGACACCATTTAACTCCAGTGACTGTCTTCTACATTATTGAGCACACATTGAAGCCAGTGATTCCACTGTCTCATCCATCTCGACCCCCACCCCCTTTATTAAACACATATCAACGCCAGTGACTCCACTATTATCTCAACGCTAGTGATTCCACTATTATCTAAACGCTGGTGACTCCACTATCTCATCCACCTCGACTCCTCCCATCATTACACACATCTTAACACTAGTGACTCCACTATCTCTACCATCTCGACCCCTCCCTCCCAGTATGCATCAACACCCTTGAGTGAACAATCCCCCCCCCCCCCCCCATCTAAAACATTCCTAATCCCTGTCTAGACCAGACCGCTATTTCTACCCGTTACGCAAGATTGATTCCCTAAAGCATTCATTTTCTTTTCTATGGGGAGTCAACACAATTGAATGGAAACACCCCCCCCCTTCCCGTTTACTCTTCGATGGGTAGGCTACACAATTGTATGTACACCCCCACCCCTATCCCCCCCCCCCCCCCCCCGACTTTGTGTCATGAGTTCCTGTGTACCAATGCACAATTTTACAATCAGAAACTTACCCTGCGGACCAAGTGGGCTAGTTTATAAAGCTAAGTTAACTTTTATTTTATTTCTCATACACTAGATTTCTAAATGTCGTTTATTGCTGTCTTCGTTTGACCACAGTACAAGACTCGTTTTGACTGAACTTTTTAAAAATCGTTATAAATGTGTACTAACATACATATTATGAATGTGCACAAACATGCTTAAATTTTTATGTAATAACATATTAGTTATTACGGTGTATTAACATACAACAACAGAAGTAGGACAATGTGCTCCAATGCATAAATTTGTTAAAAACTAATTTATTTGTCAAGTCGTGCGTTGCGAACTTTGAACTCGCCAGTGTACGTCCAGCAACTCTTGAAGATTTTTTCCAAGAACGACAACCCAAGCTCTTTATTCAGATTTATAGACCTACCATATAGATCTATACCATTGTATTAACCACATTTATTTTCATTCTTAACCAACTTAGTCGAGGTTTTGCTTTCATATATTAACGTATGCTTACAGCTTTAATATATAGATATATGTATAACAGTAAGTAACGTCAGTATATATCTCTCCTAAAGTAACGGTGACTTCTGTAGACGGTGATGTATGTGATGTATGTGTTATGTCTGATACGTCACATATTGCTACTATGTATGTGGTATTATAAGTACCATACACGCAGATATACCAGTATACCAATAGTATGCAGTTGAGGTTGTATATTTACGTTTTAAGCCTACGATCAAACACCTCTTATCTCCCAGTTCAGACGACACAAACTCTCGCCATCTAACATCGCGTGTTTCTATGTTTGTCACGGTGTGGTCGGGTGTGAACGTAGTCCGTCATGTTTTGTCGATTCCTATCTGTTCCCGGCATCTTTTTATGTAACACTGGTGTTTCACCTACCTGGGGATCACGTGACTTAGTTGGGCGTAGCTCGGTTAGATGGAAGACTTTTCTTTCGGTTTCTTTTTCTTTGTATCTGAGCAACAAAAATGTGTTGTTTACACAAACACTCACAAAAAATGACAACACATTTTTCAATTCAAACACCTAAAATACAAAAAAGTGACTTTTATAAACCATTGTTAACAAATCAATATTCTGAAATATAAGCTGAAATCTTATTTATATTGCTCTACTAAAATGTTATTTAAAACATTAAATAGTTGATTTTTACATTTCTCTATGCCTAAGCATTATACAGTTTCATAAGCTAACACTGTAAACGATGAAATACATTTAATACCATTGTAGTCAATTTCTTATTAACAAATCTATCTAGTATTATATCTCTCTAACAAAACCAAATGCTTTTAATAAGTTTTTGGCACGATACAGACGTTGAATGTCGACAGATGTTGTGTTGATAAATGTGGTGTTGATAAATGTGGTGTTGATAGTTGTGATGTTGATAGATGCGGCGTTGATAAATGCGGTGTTGATATATATGGTGTTGACACATGTTGTGTTGATAAATGTGGTGTTGATAGTTGTGGTGTCTACATATGTCGTGATGCTTGATGATATATTGATGCTTTTATAAGTTATTTATAAATGTAATCTTGCCGTTTCTACCAGCTATCAAGTTTACAAACGTCAACAGCTCATCTGTCTTCCAAGTACCAGAGGACTCTGCCATCGGATACGTCATCGTAGAGCTACAGACAGACTCAAACGATACAACATTGCAATATATTTTAGAAAACGCTGGTGGCGGTCCGTTCAAGTTCCCAACAGGATCCAACAATCTGACTCTGACAGGACCTCTCAACTACGACTCGATAAATTCATATCAGCTCACTGTCATGTAAGTCAACTGAACACTGAAGTAGTTGGTTGATGTATGCTGTTCTCATTGTTCTGATATTTTTCTCTCTAAATAAAACCACAACGCAATCCCAATTGAGTAATTATTCACTATGTTTGAGCACACGTACAGTAAATCAATTGATTTTTTTTATTCATTTGTTTCAAACATTGTCTTTTAACAAGTCAATAAACAAAGTTAATATTTTTCACCAGACTCAAAACAGGAACTGGATCTCTTTTAGATTATGTCTCATTCTTCATAAGCGTCGTGAAGGTGGTAGGGTCACACAACCGACCGAACATCACCGTGTACACCGGTGACGTCACGATTGACGAGGAACTACCTGCTGGCACCAGGATACCGTTTAACTTTACGGTTGTTGACCCTCTGGGCAGCACAGTTGCTTACACCTTGTCTCCAGGTAGATCTTGGTGGCTTCCCTTTTGTTAAACATTTTTGTACAGTGTGTGTAAAGTGTATTGTAGTTTCGTCTTAACTGTTCAATTATCTTTGATTGTACCGTGTTTTTTTCTATTTCATTTCTTGTACCTACTGTACCAGGTACAGCGTCACAACTAGGTGTCACCCGCATCCTGTGACACCATCCAAGTGTGATAACACCAAATGATAAATAAATGCCTTAATGAGAAGGTCTCCTTTTTCAAAATAATTTAACAACATATTAAATGTATTTATATACCTTTAGGCAATGATTGAAAACATTCTGGAATGATAAACACATCAAAATGTCTAAAATTTAATACATCACCTATGTTGTCATTAGTGGGGATGAGGGTGACACGTTAGGTCAGCTGACTTAGTGACACCACCACTGGTTTGGTACCTGATATGAGAGTTTGTCTTTTCTATTCCAGGACCAGAAGTTTCCACTGTGAGCATCAACTCTATAACAGGGCAAATCACTCTCAACAGTAAAATTAACTTAGACCCTAATGTCGTATCCAGGGCTTACTCCGTCGTTGTGTTCGGTAAGTAATTTTTTAAACACATATTTCATATCTTCTTATTAGACGCAAAAAGGTTGTTTGACTTGGTTTTTTTATTATTTTTTTTTTATTTTAGATGATTGACATGTAATAAAGTATATTTAAATATTAAGCATTTCTTTGAGATTGAACAAAAACAATACATAATTACACAACAGAAACTGTAAAAATTGGAAATAGTTTCCCCATTAGTTAACACTCACATGTGAGTTATCTAACCCCTGTTCTTCAGTCAGTGTCTAAGTAAAATACCGGCTACTTATTGCCCGTGTATCTGATCGCGTCTATCCCTCCCTGTGTGGTCGAAAATACGGGCTACTTATAATATATCCCTGGTATCTCAACGGATTTATCCTCTGTGTGCCCAACATATGAATATACTATCAATCAAGGCTGAGAAATTCTAAATATTGTTTTCTTTATTTTAAATGTCGTGTCCAGCGGTCGCGAATGGCACCAGATCATCGTCCATGACGTTGTCTTTTACTGTCAGAGATATAAATGACAACGATCCTGTCTGTACACCTTTGGTCGCCTATACAAACTTAACTGAGGAGTTAGCAGGTAAGTCATTTTTTGTCGCATGGTATAAATTTAATTGAGGGTATGGGTGGTGGTGTGTAGATGGATGTGTGGTGTGTGTGTGTGTGGGGGGGGGGGGGGTTAATGAAAAGAAGAACTAACCAATCCAAATGTTGTTTGAGCACAGATATCTTAACCTAATCTACAATTGTAGGGCTGGGTACTAACATCGTTAAATTGTTGCATTATTTTTTTTTTAAATATTTTGTTTTTGACCACAGCCCCTACGGCAGTCTACACGTTAAACTGTTCTGATGACGACAGTGCATACAACGGCTACAACCGTCTCAGCTACACTCTTCTTGACGGAAATTCTTCGGTCTTTAGGTAACATTTTAAAACATCAATACATCATATTTTTAACGGAAATTCTTCGGTCTTTGGGTAACATTTTAAAACATCAATCAAACATATTTTAAACGGAAATTCTTCTGTCTTTAGGTAACATTCTAAAACATCAATCAAACATATTTTAAACGGAAATTCTTCGGTCTTTAGGTAACATTTTAAAACATCAATCGAAAATATTTTAAAGAAGCGTTATTATGTGCTCTAAGAGAAGACTAACTAGAATTATTTCCTATGCGTCAGAAAACATCGACTACATCATCTGTTCTGACTGACATCATCATATTAACGTCTGAAAACATTGACTTCATCAATTGTTCTGACTAACGTCCAACACGTTTAGTCATTTATGACAGTCCATCACTCTGTTAGTCCTGATATTTCTCAAATCTCCTGTCATTTGTTTCTGTATTTCAGTGTGGACAACTCAACTGGTCAGATCACCGCCATAGCTGCTGTGGACTATGAGCAAATCTCGACAAAAACATTATCGCTAACAGTTAAAATACAAGATGGCGGAAACAGAACAACCACGGCTACCGTCTTTGTTGCGGTAGGTTGAATAGCCACTTGAATTAACTAGTGGTTTCAAGACCCCAAGGGTGATAAATCAGTCAGGACTGCGAGTTTTAAAAAATGCATTAGTCTGAAAAGTAAAAAAAATAACTTAAATGGGAGCAGAATCAAAATTAAATAGAAAAAAATTAATAGTTTTATTATTTTTTAAAAATGAATTCACTTTATAGTTGACCGAGGCAACCAAATTATTGTTTTTCTTCAGAATAAGCCAAAACACGTTTGTTAATGTTTTAGTAATTTAATCATGTGACTTTTGTATTATGTCCTTTAGATCGACGCCGTTAATGACAACGCCCATGTGTTTACTTAATCATGTGATTTTTGTATTGTGTACATCAGATTGACCCCATCAACGACAACTTCCCTGTGTTTAGCACCTGGTCCCCACCTGTACCAGCTGATGGAGTTTACTCAGTGCCAGAGAACACCTCGATTGGAACCAGTCTGTTCACAGCTCGTGCCACAGACGCTGATCTAGTTGTGGGCAACACCGTCAAATATGGCATCACAGTCACACAAGGTATGACATCACAGTCACACAAGGTATGACGTCACACAAGGTATGACATCACAGTCACACAAGGTATGACATCACAGTCACACAAGGTATGACGTCACACAAGGTATGACATCACAGTCACACAAGGTATGACATCACAGTCACACAAGGTATGACGTCACACAAGGTATGACATCACAGTCACACAAGGTATGACATCACAGTCACACAGTATATGACATCACACAAGGTATGACATCACAGTCACACAAGGTATGGCATCACACAAGGTATGACATCACAGTCACACAAGGTATGACATCACACAGGGTATGACATTACACAAGGTATGACATCACAGTCACACAGTATATGACATCACACAAGGTATGACATCACAGTCACACAAGGTATGACATCACAGTCACACAAGGTATGACGTCACACAAGGTATGACATCACACAAGGTATGACATCACACAAGGTATGACATCACACAAGGTATGACATCACAGTCACACAAGGTATGACATCACAGTCACACAGTATATGACATCACACAAGGTATGACATCACACAAGGTATGACATCACAGTCACACAAGGTATGACATCACACAAGCTATGACATCACACAAGCTATGACATCACAGTTACACTAGGTATGACATCACAGTCACACAAGGTATGACATCACAGTCACACAAGGTATGATATCACAGTCACACAAGGTATGACATCACAGTCACACAAGGTATGACATCACAGTCACACAAGGTATGACATCACACAAGGTATGACATCACAGTCACACAAGGTATGATATCACAGTCACACAAGGTATGACATCACAGTCACACAAGGTATGACATCACAGTCACACAAGGTATGACATCACAGTCACACAAGGTATGACATCACAGTCACACAAGGTATGACATCACATTCACACAAGGTATGACATCACATTCACACAAGGTATGACATCACACAAGGTATGACATCACAGTCACACAAGGTATGACATCACAGTCACACAAGGTATGACATCACAGTCACACAAGGTATGACATCACAGTCACACAAGGTATGACATCACACAAGGTATGACATCACAGTCACACAAGGTATGACATCACATTCATACAAGGTATGACATCACACAAGGTATGACATCACAGTCACACAAGGTATGACATCACAGTCACACAAGGTATGACATCACAGTCACACAAGGTATGACATCACAGTCACACAAGGTATGACATCACACAAGGTATGACATCACAGTCACACAAGGTATGATATCACAGTCACACAAGGTATGACATCACAGTCACACAAGGTATGACATCACATTCACACAAGGTATGACATCACAGTCACACAAGGTATGACATCACAGTCACACAAGGTATGACATCACAGTCACACAAGGTATGACATCACACAAGGTATGACATCACAGTCACACAAGGTATGATATCACAGTCACACAAGGTATGACATCACAGTCACACAAGGTATGACATCACACAAGGTATGACATCACACAAGGTATGACATCACACAAGGTTTGAAATTACAGTTACGATGACCAGAAAGATGTGCAATGGAAAAAGCGCACAAAAAAAAATGCGCAACGGAAAAAAGCACAAATCGAAAATTGCGCACACAGAAAAATTCTCACTCAGAAAAATGCACAAATAAGAAAATAAAATCATGCAAACAGAAAATGACACACAGATTTTTCATCAATTATGAGTGTGACAATGTGTGTATATATTATTTTGTGTGTGTGTGTGTGTTTTACGTTGGTCTGTGTATGTGTGTATATACATAAACGTAATTTATTTAATTCTCATCTATATATATAATTCTCCTCTTCGAGCCGTTAGAAAACAAGCTGCAAACGCTCTCCCTACCTCCCCACCCCTACATGGTTTTAGTGAGCTGTGTTCACTCTAAATGTTTACAAGCAGAGCCAACGATTTTAAACGTAGGGGGGGAGGAGGGGGGAGGGAAGGAAGGGGGGGGGGGGTTATGGTCCTTAACGAGCTACTTAGTGTTTTAAAGAAATATTTTCAGTGTCAGCGTTGGTACTGTCGAATTCACAAATTATGAATTATTGAAAATTAGAAACAACTAAATAGCGGCGTATGTTATGCCGCGGGCCGGCTCGTTACTCTATATTTGAAGTTTTAAAAATGCCACCGTTCTTTTTAAATTGCATAAATTAGTAATATTTTCCGATCATACACACATAGATGCTGTTGACCGAAGGTGCGTCGACCATAGATGATTGGCCCACACGTTGTTTGGCAATTTGTAAACCAGGGCTGTGTAATCACAGATGATGTGACCAAATGTGGTTTGCACGCCAACGCCTACGCCCACACCTACCGTCGACTTACCGACGCACCCGCCTGTCTGACTGTCTGTCTGTCTTTCCGTGCGTCAGTCAGTCAGTCAGTGCACCTATCTCTCTTTCTATTTCTCTACAGTCATAAAAGAAAACGGGGGGGGGGCTAAGGAATTAAGAGTAATAAGGAAGAGTTTGTTAACGTTATGTGTCAGTCCGGCACTGTACCTAGGTCAAATTCACGAGTCTTGCAGATGTGTGACTGTGTGGCAGAACGAACAACATTTATTTTACCCAATAATTAAAACACAGACTGCGGTCTCTAGTACACTGAAGTCACGCATTAGTGGCGATCCCTGCAAGTTATTACATGAGCTAACCATCCGTCCATCCTGATTATTTTTCGACATGTTCAAATGGAGGTACTTTTTTGCGTATAATTGTACCTCTCTCTCTGTTATTTGACCGAAAAACTGTTATTCCAATGACAATATAATTTGCATGATATTTAGATGTATAGACGGACGATTGGATAGACAGGTAGGCAAGGTCTGTGGGTGGGTCATTCGGTCCGTTGGCAGGTGGGTGTTGGTGTAGTTATAAATGTAGGTATATATGTAAGTGTAGGTACAGGTGTAGCCTTAGTTATGCAAATCACCAATTGTCAAATAACCTGTGATAAACACTCGCAACTGCCTGTGGACAACCGTTGGCTGTGGTCAAACAAAATGTGGGATTATCACCTTTGGTCAAAAAGAATCTGTAATCGAAAAATCTTAGAAATGTATAATTCTATTTATTTTAGAAAATGATGTCGCTTCTATTATTGAATAAAAATATACAGACGTTAAAATAAAATATTTCTGTCTATGTATGCACATAGGCACGTGCAAACTCAAACATGCACGCACAAAACACACGCATATTGCCATAATATTTATTGGTAACCAACTTGTGTGTAGTTTTCTGTTTGGGTGTTTTCTATGTGCGCACATTCCTCTTTGCACATTTTCTGTGTACGCACTTTTCTCTTTGCGCCTTTTTCTGTGTGGGTAAATTTCTGTTTGTGCTTTTTTTATGTGTGCTCATTTTTCTCTTTGCGCATTTTTCTGTGTGTGCATTATTCTGTTTGATCATTTTTCTGAGTGCGCAAATTTCTGTTTGCGCTTTTTTCTGTTTGCGCTTTTTTCCGTTGCGCATTTTTTTGCGCTTTTTTTCCGTTGCGCTTTTTTCCGTTGCGCATCTTTCTGAGAACCTACAGTCAAACAGGGTGTGACATCACAGTCATACGAGGTATGACATCACAGACACAAGGTTAGTTCTAGCAGTGACAGCTTTTATGTGTTGAAATAGATCCATTGTTTGACCAGGATAGACACCGTAGTGTCGATACGTCGGGGGACACTCAGTGCAGAAAATCAGGGTTCACCCCTCTCCCCAAACGAATAATTGTAGACCTGAATGATGTACTAAAACTAGAAGCAGTTTGGTCCCACCTTTAGATCTATTTACTAATGCTATGTAATAAAATGTGTAGAATAAGTTTAATTGACTGTAATTTGTAGTTTTTCTTTTGGATGTCAACTCATCGGAACTTGCCATCCGGTATGGGTCTACACCCCCCTTCCCCGCCTTGTGACACTTTAGTATAGAAACACAGACATAGTTCAGTCCCTGAATCATCTTTTGGAGTTAAAGATCGTAATGATATAAATAGGGCTCATTCATATCTTAATGGCCATTGGCCATGCTAGATCTATACTAGCGGAAAAAAGTCGAGAGCAGAGTTTCTTCCAGGCATCTTTTCTGGAAGGAGGGGGGGGGGGGAGGTTGGAATTTATATAGAAAACATACATTTTTACCAGTGTGTGTCCCCCCCCCCCCCCACCTTCCCCTGGCCCTGTCTCTGTAGGTTTAACCTCTTGGACGTGGATATGTTGAATCTGTTGTTAGAACCTCGTATATATACATATCTATATTTTGTAGGTGGTGTGGCGGCCAATGATGTCTTCTTCATACATTCTGACACCGGGCAGGTCACTCTCATTAAAACAATCGACGCAGACACGAGTTGTCCTACAACACTATACAACATTACTGTACAGGTATTTTTAAATCATCAACTTTTTCTTGCCGTCAATCAAATTACATTTTTAGCCTTGATGGCAAAAATATCAAATGGTAAAATTGTATTGTTATCGAACTGTAGTTTTTAAAACTAAAGACATTTTAAAAAGTTATAGGCTTACCATTTGTGTTTTTTCTCACAAGTGTCCAATGTATGGAATACTTTGTAACACTTTGTTAATTAAACTATACCAGTTCGCAACTAGCCTTCTTGTTATAGGGGAGACAATATTGTCAAAAAGTCAAAATTTAAATAGGACAACTGATCTACTTAAGCGCATATAAAATTTAAGTAGGCAAATCTTATAGTCAAATCAAACTAAAGCATTTATTTCAGTTTTAGTTATAATAAGCATAGTTGGTTTGGCTAACTAAATAATTAGTTTAGAAACTAAAGTATGAACACAACATTTTTTAAAAACAAACATAAGCAATAAAGTAGGCCTACATTATTTCAACCTTTGTTTATCTAGATCTAGACGGTCCGGACATATCGTTTTACATTTTGCATCTCATTCAGCTAAAAAAAAAAATCAACTCAAGGCCAGTGTTTCCTTTGAATGTTTGAAATTATTCAAATGATATTGATGTTGATGTGCTTGCTTTATATTGAAAATAAAATATATTAAAAATCATTAGGCTAGTGATGGCATGACCAACGTGCCTAGGAATGTCTCTGTGGTCATCACAGATGTCAACGACAATGCTCCCACGTTTCAAAACACCCCATTCAATGTGACCATTAATGAAAGCTACGCTACTCCAGGATATGTTGTCATTACGGTAGGAGTTATCCTTCTTTTAAAAAAAATCTTATCCAAGTGGCTTGTTTTAAAGTTGTTTTGTTAGGAGTCAGTTGAACATTATAATTATTAACCTTCAACGTAACAAGTCCAATTTTTAACTGAAAAATTTACTAGAATGTTTTGTTTTCATTTTGAAATTTTTGACTTTCAGCTTTCTGCAACTGACAAAGACTGTACTCAATTAAATTTTCTTTACTCAGTTAGCAAGATAATATATGGAAATACTACTGGTGAGATACAGGGTGTAAATAATTGTTCACAATATTATTAATATTTGAAAAAAAACCACTTAATATTTCGGCCATATATTCTTAATGTGTTAGGTACACATAGGATCTAGATCTAGAATCTAGATCAATGAGAAATTTAATCAGTTTTTGTTAATGCATTACAGAAGAACATTTTTTCATATGTAGGCCTATTCATAGTAGGCCTTGCCTAGTTTTATTTAGGGGCTACAGAACATTTAATTTAATTAAATTTTAACTTCCGCTATTTTTTTCCCTACACAAATGTAGTTCCTGTTATTGAAGTTTAAATGTTCAAATTGTCCTGGCCTATATGTTTATTTATAACTTTGCAGCTGGCCAGTGGCAGTTCAACTCTTCAGTGCCTGGACAACTGGAGTTAAAAAGTTTGATTGACTTAGACACACCAGGAGCTACAGATTACATGCTAATTATGGTAATTAAAATTATTGTGATGTCCTGTAGTACTGTGTAAGACATGATGTGACATTAAAATAAACTACAAAGTCCATGACGCTCTAAAGCAGCTAGTTTGTTTAGAGTCAAATAAAGAAATGATTTGTTAGTTTTATACCACAGCATTTATTTATTTACTAGCCGCTATTATAACAAATACAGATTTGATTAAATATGCTTTCAGGTGACTGATGTTTTTAGTTATTTAAAAAAAAAATCATATTTTTTACTAATGGTTTTATAAATAACCTTACTAATGATCTTTGGTGTGAATTTACAAATGTTATTATACATTTAGCTGACTGTACAAGATCAAGGATCACCCCCTCTCTCTAGCAGCGCCATCTTGACAGTACACATTTTACCTGACAATGAATTTCCACCCAATATCACCTTTACACCTGGACCAATCAATGTAAGTTGTTGCCAATATTACCTTTACACCTGGACCAAATTTATATGTAAGTTGTTGCCAATATCACCTTTATACCTGGACCAATGTAAGTTGTTGCCAATATTACCTTTACACCTGGACCAATCAATGTAAGTTGTTGCCAATATCACCTTTACACCTGGACCAATAAATGTAAGTTGTTGCCAATATCACCTTTACACCTAGACCAATGTAAGTTGTTGCCAATATCACCTTTACACCTAGACCAATGTAAGTTGTTGCCAATATCACCTTTATACCTGAACCAATCAATGTAAGTTGTTGCCAATATCACCTTTATACCTGGACCAATCAATATAAGTTGTTGTCAATATCACCTTTACACTTTTTCTTTTTGTTTATGAAAATAGTGAACCTTTTCATAATGAATAAAATTATATTTTTGTTGAGGTACCATTAACATTCATTAAAATAATTTTCAAATTAAATTTTTTTGAATATTTTTATCTTCTCAGATCTCTGAAAACATAGTGGTAGGGCAATTGATTGGTAGTCTGACAGTCGAGGACAGAGATTACGGACCGGAGGGAAAACTAAAATACAATATAACAAGTGGGTTCACAATTTCTCATTTGGTTCTTGATTTGTAACACTTAACGTCAAAATGATGATTGGTAAATGTGGAGCCTCGATATATACTAACATAAAGTGTTCCAATATTCATGTTGTTTCATTGATATAATATTTCAGCCTACATCTATTAAATATAATTTTGCTATTCATTTCATTTTATATTTTTGAACATGTCATCTTTATATCAACTGATACAGAAACTTTTCAAACTGTTTAAAAAATAAAAGATGGAAGATCTCACTTTAATCTTTCTGAAGTAAAAAAAAACTTACCTCAATAATTCAACTACAAGCAAGAGAAATTTAGATGGGAAAAGCTATGTTTTAAAAATCTTATAATTTTAGATGGTTTTATTTGTAACTGGCTATTGTAACTGGAAAAACAAACAGTTTAAAAATTCATTTCCCCCATTTATAATTTTACTTTTTCTTTTAAAAAAGTATTAATTATATTAAAACTGAATTTAATTTGATATTACCAACAAATAAAACTTGAGTTGACCATGTGCTGCTGTTAATGCCCTGTCTGTGATGTTAATCCAGGAGCAATTGTACTTTATTGTTTAATAAAATAACTCTTCTGCAGGTGGAAACACAAACAATGTTTTCATGGTAGACAATGTAGGGAACATAAAAACAGTGTCCAAGCTGAATGCTGCCCAACATCCCAGCTACCAGCTGGTTATCCAGATCTCTGACTCAGGAGTTGATCCAAGGTTAGATTTATCTCCCCTATTAGAGTTATTTCTTGTTAAAATCTGCAGCATTATTAATTTAATTTAAAAACAAGTATTTCAATTTTAAAATGTTCAATCAAATTTTATGGATTTTATTATGTTTTAAAGCAAATTGGCTTCCCATGTGTCAAATATAAAGAAAAATTAAATATGTTCCTATAGAACTGCCACTGCTACTGTTGTTGTCAATGTGACTGCTGTTGATGAACACATTCCTGAGTGTGTTGATCCATACATAATAATAGATCTGCTAGAGACTTCTGCAATCAATTCCTCAGTAAGTTTATAGTTTTGTGTAGGCCTACATTACATATGTTGAAAAATCTATCAGGTAGATCTATAATAGATACAGTTAATAACTTAAATGAAAATGGATATCACTTACATGAGGAAAATTAAGCAGTTTGTGAACATGTGCTAGGTGGGCCATTGGTGGTTTTAATAATGTGATAACCGACAAGGTGAAATTTTACAAACGTTAACATTGTTTTACAATTTATTGGTTTTATCATGGGATAGGAGCAATGTGAAATTATATTGTATGTATGAGACCAATCTACTTTTTTTTATAATGATAGGGTGGGAGGGGGTGTATTGTCACTTCATTGGTGTATGAAATAAGTAGGATAGTGGTGCAGCATTGTTTGTGTAGAGACCAAATGTAACTAATTTATTTCTTCTAACATCTCTACCTCTAGGTGGCCAACTTAAGTTGCCATGACCAAGATGGAGACATCCTGATCTACACTGTAAAAAGATTTAACGAAACTTTTGGTTTTATAAATGGCACAGCTGATTTGATTTTACTAAGTGGTTAGTTGGATTTCTTTTCTCAAATATATTCAATTTTTGTTTTTGAAATATTTAGTATTGTAAAGCAGTGACTCTCATTTTGTGTTGTGAGTTACCACCCCTGCCATCACCTTGCATTTGTTTTTATGAAACAGAAAAACTACAAACTACCCATGGATTATAATCAAATGAAAATATGTATAGGCTTATCTTAAAGTATAAATTCAAAGTCTTTAAAACTATGGCTATCTATAAAAAAAAATTAATATTGAAACAAGGATTTTTAAAAAAATTTTACTACAAAATATAAAATGATAATATAGTAATAATGAAATTTGATAGCCATATCCTGTGTTGTACTCGTCTTCCAGTGAATATCTTTCTAATTCCAATTTTCATTTAGAATAATGTCTTTGTCATATTAAAAGAAAGATGTAAATAATCTCATAACATAGGCTGTGTAAACCATAAGTTGATATTTTACTTAAGTTTGCTTTAGATAAAAATGCTGTACCATAATAAATGTGGTCAGAATTGATGTAATAAATATGTTTCAATGCTAGAGACAGAAAACTTTTGGAAAGAAAATTTATTGCAATTTAATTCAAACCAAATTCATTGCTCATAAATGAAAATAAAATGTGTGTTTATTGTTAATTAATAAGTTCATTAACAGCTAATTTTAAATTTATTTGTTCTCCAGGTGTAGACTATGACTCCAGTCAACAGAATTATGTTGTTGAAATTGAAGTCAGTGATGGAATCTTTGGAATCACTGTTTTAGTCGTGGTCAATCTCCTGCCAGTGAATGAATTTCCACCTGTATTTAACCCCTCCATTGTTTCTATCAATGTGACTGAGAACAAGATAGTCGCAAACCCAGTTTTAGTATTCAGTGCTACTGATATGGACTATAGTCCACACAATATTTCAAACTACACAATATATTCAGGTATAACATAGAAATATCAGTATGCTTTATTTCTGTTTGTGTACTTAACTCTAGAATTGAAATTTTATGTAATTTATTTTTAGATGTGAAGATGAATAAAGCTAATTGTGAACTTACTTTTTCAGTTTCAAATAATGGGAGACAACTTTTTGAAATTGACCATCGCACTGGGGCTCTAAGTGTATTGTCCAAACTGGACTATGAACTTCTTCCTTCTAATGACACATCATACACAGTAGTGGTCATTGCTATGGATGGTGGAGGATTAAATGTAAGCTTGGACTTGTATTTCATTTATAATGTTTATGTTTTACGCGAAGGAATAAATTGCACAGTTCTATATGTAGTTGAAGGGGTGGTTTGTGGCCTCCATTTTTTCAACTTTTAAGTGAAGCCAGTCTTATAGAGAATGATGATTTAATTAATGAGGATATTTTAAAAATAATTCCTAAATTACTTAAATGTTGTTTCATTACTATCTTTTATTTGTTTTTCATAGACTAACAACAAGTTGGTTATTTTAAAATTTATAAACCTAGTTTATTCAAGAAAAAACTTTTTAAAAAGTCATGATATATTTAGATCTATATCATATTTTATATTTGTTCTAGTAATTTTAGTTATTTCATTTTGTTGTGACACTTATACACATCTTTTCCTTAGGCTACTGGTACAGTTACAGTTAATGTTCTTGATGTCAATGACAATGCACCAGCTTGTTTGAGATCAGTTTACACGAAAAATGTCAATGAAAAGCAGAGTAAGCACAAACAATTTTAATGTATTTCTGTTACAATCAGACAAAATTTAGACAAACATTATCAACCCAGGGATTTATGTAAATTTAAGTAGTTTAGGCTTATATTCCCAAGTGAAAATTGAAAAAAAACATATTATAAATAGATTTTGAAATTTAATTTTTAAAAAATGATTACATAGTCATTAAAACATTTGTTTTAAAAAAATTTTTACATTAACATATAGAGCTGTCAATGTTTCAATTATGTTTACTTAAAAAAAGGGTTGAATTTGATAAACCAAATCCACTTTTTGTGTTAACACAACCATTTTGTTTCTTCGCATTTAGATGGCAGTGGCCCCTATAATTTATTAACTCTGGGATGTTTTGATGCTGAAGATAAAAACAAATTGAACTACACATTGGACCAAACACCTGGCAACCATTTCTCTATTGTCAATGATACTGTTGAGCTTGTGAATGGTAGGTTCAGATTTCTGTGAGAACTGACATTTTGTATGCGCTATTGCTAAAAGGTTGTTTTTAGAGTCTACATATGTTTCATGTGTACATAAAATTGTATGATGAAGTATTGATTTATAAGCCTCCTCGATATCATTGTGATTAACAGGTGTTACTTTAGTAACCAATAAAAATCATTGTAATAAGGTTAATTTTTAAAGGGCAGGAGGAAAAGAGCTTTCCATAACCAAATCATTGTTTTTAATATCTTTGAGTGACTTCCAATATTACTATTGGATAGCTGATAATACAAAATGTAGTCATAAATTTCATCTCAGTCTGCAAGAAAGGTAACAATATAATTTGTATTAGAGACCCCCCCCCCCCTCTTCCAAATTTAAATGATCTAATGTGGCCTATACTTAAAATGTATTCAACATTTCTCTAGACATAAGCTGACAATGTATTCAACATATCTCTAGACATAAGCTGACCATGTATTCAACATACCTCTAGATATAAGCTGACCATGCATTCAACATTTCTCTAGACATAAGCTGACCATGTATTCCACATATCTCTAGACATAAGCTGACCACATATTCAACATTTCCCCAGACTCTCTAGACTATGAGACAGCCACTGGACACAAGCTGACCATTGTGGTCTCAGACTTTGGCAACCCTGTCCAGTCTACAACTGTTTTTGTGTTTGTCACCGTGGTCAACATGAATGATGGCCCACCAGTGTTTCCTGTCTACCCTGATCAGTTGGTTAATGAAACAGAGACTGTTGGTCACCTTATATTAGGTAGGTTGAACATTGTGTTTACTTTTATTTAATGTAAATATTATATCATCATAATGTTTTCACTTTTATGCCCCAAACACATGGGGCCATTACCAAAAGCTGTATTTAAAACACCCCTTCAATTAATGAAATATGATTTAAGAGACAGCTTTTCATTCTTTTCTCTGTTTTGTTGTTTAGTTGTAAATGCATCTGATCCTGATGGCAAAGATCCTGTGTTTGGTGACCCACAATACACCATCATCAATGGAGATAGTAATCAGCAGTTTACAATTGGGGCAACAAATGGTGACATTTCTCTACGTAAACCTTTGGATTACGAGCAAACAAAAAACTACACACTTACTATTCAAGTAGGTATTTTACTGTCTGTAGTCTCTTCTGTGTATTATTTTGTATTGTGTGTAGCTACTTACAAAAAGTGAACATTTCTATTTCAATGGAACTATGACTGCAACTTCCAACTTGGAGGTGCCCTCCCTGGAGAGTTATGATCTAGTGCGATGGAGGCACACTAATTGTACAAAAATGTGTGAACAATATAAATTTTTTAAAAATCATGCAGCATAAAATAAGTAAATACATATATCATAAAAGTAATTGTTTGTTTATAAAGACAGTTTAAACTGACCTATGCAATGAATAGTGGGACGGAGTGGTCTAGCGGTAGAGAGCTGGACTGCTAACCCGTAAGTCTCGAGTTCGAATCCGGGTTTAAGTCAGTAGACCGTCCCTGAGTCCACCCAACTCTGATGGGTACCTAACTCACGTTAGGGAAAGTAAAGGCGGCTGAGCATAGTGCTGACCACATTATCTCTTCATATGCCGAGGTCACAGAAACAAGTGAACTCTACTTCACTTGCCCCATAGACCATCAGGTTTGAAAGGGAAACTTTACTTTTTTTTTTATGCAATGAATAGGCTATCCTATTATCAATTTTGTTATTTCCTATCTTTCTTATTTTTCATAATTGTAATAGATTGAAATAATTGTGAGGTCAAGGGAACTCACTCTTCTGTATTAGTTATATTTATAATATTGTTATCTTGAGTGATGTCCCTTGTGTACTTCCTCCCGTCCTCTCTGTGTGTTACCATCGTGGTAGTTAGACCCAATTAAATGTGTTATATACAACCACAGGCTTCTGTCGTCAATCTATTATAACTGGCGACGAAGGATAAACATCGACTAGAAAGAGCACCTACTTACGCAAAAAAGAGGTTTGCTAGAGCTTATTAGCTAATTATTTCTAGAATTATGGCGCTGTATGGCCAAATAAAAGAATTTGATGCGAATGATGAAATCATTCAAGATTACCTAGAGAGGTTAAGCTTTTACCTAGAAGCTAACAACGTGACGATAGAAGCCAAAAAGAGAGCTATTTTGTTAACAGTCATAGGGCCTCAACAATTTAGGCTACTAAAAGACTTATGCGCACCAGCCAGTCTAACTACCAAGAGCTTTAACGAGCTGAGCAAATTGCTAACAGACCACCATGCGCCTACCCCATCAAAGTTTTTATGTAGAGCTAGATTTGACAGTAGGACTCGTCAACCAAACGAGTCAATATCAGAATATGTTGCTGCCTTACGTCATTCAAGTAGATTCTGTGAATTTGGAGAAACGCTGTCTGACAGACTATGTGAAAAGTTTGTGACAGGTGTAAACAGCCCTGATATTCAAAGAAAGTTGCTGCTCGAGTCAGATCTAAAATTAGAAAAAGCAATACAACTAGCAACTTCATTCCAGCAGTCATCTGATGCTGCGAGATCTTTAGCACCTTCAGAGATCCATGCAGTAAACAGCAGGTTAGTCAATAAACATCAACCCCATCAGAGCATTCCAACTTATGCTAAACAGCCTGCTCGTTCAAATCCTAGATCTAAATCTAGTAATAATTATCAAAAATGTCATCGATGCAAAGGTCCCCATGCATCTCATCGATGCAAGTTCAAGTCTGCAACTTGTTATAAGTGCGGTAAGCAAGGTCACATTGCCAAGGCCTGCTTTGCAAAGTCTTCGTCTGTTGCTAAATCTAGCCAGTCAAGACAGTACCGCAACCAAAAGCAGCACTATGTTAACTCTCACCAAGACTACCTAACCCAACCAATGAACCACTCTACCTGTGAAAATGCTCAAACTGATTCGCAGCCGGATTTCAACCTGTTCTCTGTGAAATCAATAAGTCATGCTCCCATCAGTGTACTAGTTAATATCAACGGTAAGAGCATCAGCTTCCAACTTGACACTGGAGCATCTCTAACAGTCATAACAAAGAAAGATTTTGAAGCTGTCACAGGAGGATCAGTGCCTCTACAGCCATGTCACAAGTGCCTAACAACATACACTGGTGACAATGTTCCGGTAATAGGAGAGTGTATGGTTCATGTAAGTTATAATGGTCAAAGTGTTAAACTTCCTCTTCTTGTGGTTGAAGGAAATGGACCGCCATTACTAGGTAGGAACTGGTTAAGTAATCTTAAGTTAAATTGGGAGAGTATTTGTTCATTGAAGAATGTAAAAGAATCTAGTCCTACTTCACTAGATAAAGTTATATCTGAAAATAAATGTGTTTTTGGTAATCATGGATTACTAAATGATAGAACAGTGAAGTTAAGCATTAAAGACACAAATCCAAGATACTGCAAAGCTAGAGTTCCACCTTATGCAATGAGGAATAAAATTGAAAATGAGCTAAGTAGATTGGAATCTAATGGCATTATAAAGAAGGTAGACTATTCCGATTGGGCGACACCCATTGTGCCAGTGTTAAAGAAGGATGGTTCTATAAGAATTTGTGGAGATTATAAAACTACACTGAATAAGCAAATAGAGCTAAATAGGTACCCTATACCTAACATTGAGGAAATTTCTTTGAATTTGGCAGGAGGAGACAAATTCACTGAATTAGACTTTAGTCATGCTTACACTCAACTAGAACTGCATCCAGATTCAAAAGTCTATACGACAATAAACACACATAAAGGACTCTACCAATATGAAAGACTATGTTTTGGCATATCATCTAGCCCTGGAATTTTCCAAGCTGTCATGGACAGTATTTTTAAGGATATTCCAAATGTTTGTGTGTACTTTGACAATGTGTACATAACTGGTAAGAATGACACTGAACATCTTAAAACACTAGATAAAGTCTTGAAAATTGTTGGTGAAAAAGGTTTAAAGATAAACAAAGATAAATGTCAATTCATGTTGACAGAAATTAGTTTTCTTGGTTATTTATTAAGCAAGCAAGGCATCAGACCTCAACCTGAGAAAACAAAAGCCATTAAAGAAGCACCCAAACCTGAAAATACCCAACAACTAAGAGCTTTTTTGGGCTTGATAAATTACTATGCAAAGTTCATAGGGAATCTGTCTGGTAAACTATCACCACTGTACAAGCTGCTACAGAAAAATGCAACTTGGCACTGGGGTAAACAACAAGATACTGCTTTTAATACAGCAAAAGAGGCTTTGTCTGCTGACACCTTACTAACTCACTATGACCCAGGGAAAAGACTTATATTAACATGTGATGCTTCACCAGATGGTGTAGGAGCAGTCTTGTCCCACATGGATGAGAAGGGTGACAGACCCATTGCTTTTGCCAGTAGATCTTTGAACCAGGCTGAGAAAAATTATTCTCAGTTAGATAGGGAAGGCTTAGGCATCATTTTTGGTGTTAAGAAATTTCATAAGTTTCTGTTTGGTAGGAAGTTCACCATCTTTACAGATCATAAACCATTGCTAGGTTTATTTGGAGAAAACAAAACCCTACCTGAGCATGCCTCACCAAGAATTCAAAGATGGGCTATCACACTAACTGCATACAATTATGAATTGAAATACAAACCTGGATCTGAGAATAGTGCAGATAGTCTTAGTAGTTTACCTTTAAAAAACCAAAGCCTGAGCTATGTACCAGAAGATGTATTTGTTCTCTTCACTATCATGGATAACTCCAATATAAATGTGAATGATATTAAAAGAGAAACACAAAAAGATGAGTGCTTAATAAAAGTATATGAGTACTGTAAGAATGGTTGGCCTGAAGAGTCTGTGAATGATGACTTAAGGCCATATAAAATAAGAAATAAAAACCTTTGTGAAGATAATATAAAAGATGGAGAAGATGCAGTCCATTATCAGTCAGAGTTGCCTAAACAAAGTATTTGTAACTTAATAAATGATTATGGTGATATGGCAATTTCAAATACATTAGTAAGAAGGAATGTGATCATCAAACAACTTTGCTAACATCATTAGCACTTACAGAAACTAAAAGGGTAACATCGAAAGAAAAAAAAAAAGATTTTTTGCGATTTAATACTTTCAGATGCCAATTCAAAAATAGTTCCATTAAATCATGACAACTCATGCATTGAAAGAGAATTTGGTGTTAATGAGAATGTGTATCTAAGAAATTATGGGAGAAAGGAAAAATGGATACCAGGTCAAATTGTTCAATGTACAGGACCTGTGTCTTATAAAGTTAAAAATAACTTGTGCAGATAATAAGTGTGAATCTGTCAATCCCACCAAATCTGAACAGTTCACACCAACTCAGTTTGTCCACAACCAAGTTCTGTTGATATGAGTGAACCAAGTTGTCTGGAGTCAGAAAATGTAAATTCTGGAGTTAATGATTTAAATCCTAGACCTCCTGAGATAGAGAATCCAGATGGTCAGAATATTGAGTCACCAAATCAAAAGCCACTGAGAAGGTCAAGCAGGACAATCAAGGTCCCAAATAAGTTAGACCTATGATTCTAAAGGTCAAAAGGACTTTGACATTATTGTTTTGTATTTTGATTATGTTGTAGCATATTGTGCATTGTTTGTAAGGATGTAATCTACCATAGTGTTCATGTTACAATATAATTGGTGATTTTAGGATACTATCAATTGTTCTATTGAGAGATGTGTTATTGTGTTCTAAGGGTAAAGGGATGTAATAGATTGAAATAATTGTGAGGTCAAGGGAACTCACTCTTCTGTATTAGTTATATTTATAATATTGTTATCTTGAGTGATGTCCCTTGTGTACTTCCTCCCGTCCTCTCTGTGTGTTACCATCGTGGTAGTTAGACCCAATTAAATGTGTTATATACAATCACAGGCTTCTGTCGTCAATCTATTATAATAATTGTAGGTCATTTATGGTTATGGTTATTCTAGTATTTATATAGGGTAAAAAGTATATATTTTATGGGAAGACAGGGGACAGGGAGGTGCCTATTTTTTTTAGCGCAATTTCCATTCTGGAGAATTGCGTTTATTAACCCGTCATTTCTGGATGTATGAATGTATGAATGAATGGATGGATGGATGGATGGATGGATGTATGTGTGTCCGCAGCTTTAAGTCGTATCTCCTCCTCAACGAAGCAATATCGATGACTAGTTCCAAAAGCAATTATGTTAAGCAAGTTACGAGGATGAACATAGCCCATAAAAATTCCGGGTTTCTTTCATGGATTTCCTGGAAAAATCCAAAAAAAACTCGAAAAAAAGCAGTTTTTGGCCCATATCTCGGCAACCAGACCACTTAGCGACTTGAAACATGTACCAATCGATTCCTGCCATAATTTAGAACAATATTGCCGAAGAAAGATTTCAAAAATATCCTTTCGTTCGGTCACAAAATTTTTTTTGAATTAATTAAAATTTGGACCGAATTAGTAAGCATTTTATCCAACCACACCACACGCGTCATCACGTTCAATAGCTGCGCCATCACGTTCAATGGCTGCGTCATCACATTCAGTAGGCGCGCAATGGTTTTTAGTCATGTAACTCTATTGTAAATAAAACATGTAAAATACTGACAAAAAAAAAATTTAATAAAAAACGTTTTAATAACTAACCAATGGTTTTACTAACCCTGCTCTTGATTTACGCTACGACAGAGCTATTTTTAGATAACATAAGGAAATTGCGCTTAAATGTCACTAGACTTTTTAATTAACTTGTTTTTCTAGATAGGTGCCAAAATTTTTTTGCATTGTCCAGAGACAATAAGTTTGATAATTATTTTTTTAAATTATTTACCAGGCCAAAGAGAGAGGTGGAGAGTTAAGTGCGACAGTGTCGATAAATATTCTTGTCCTGGATGTCAATGATGAGGTTCCTGTCTGCAATCCAAGCTTTGTTCTAGTCAATCGTCCTGAGACTCTCCCCATCAACTCTGTCATTGCTAGTGTGTCATGCACAGACAGGGATGATAACTCTGTGCTGACCTACAACCTGACCAAGGGGAATAATACACTTTTTCAGGTGGGAATATATGTATACTCATTACCTGAAACAAGTCATAATGACATATAATGAAAAATTATGTAACTATAAAAACTTATTTTCGAATATTCTTTTGCATTTAAAAAACATACATATGTGTCGTAACTTAAAGCATTTAATTTTAATTTTTAAAAAAGCATTATTGATTAAACAAAATGCTTGCTTTATTTTATTGTCTATCAAAACTTTTAAAAACAAACCATACATTTTTGATCAATTACGAAATTTAATAATATATGGTATTCAATATCAAGTACGTCATCCTAAATTTTAAATTTGTTTACAGTAAAATAAATTTAAATCAAAGCTTTAATTACCCCTTAGATAAATGGATCTACAGTAATCCTGGGATCAGCGTTGGATTATGAAACAAAGACATTCCATGATTTGGCTCTGTCAGTTTCAGATGGTGTCCACACCATCAACGTTGATGTTGTGGTCAATGTGGAGGATGTGGACGATGGCCCTCCTGTTTTTGAGCAAGGTCCTGCCAGATAAAATTTCTACTAAATGTTTTTGTTCATTAAAAATATTTTAAGAACTTACTAACCAGCTTTAAATAGTATCAAAATTTAATTTTAGTTAGAATGTTTCAGTGTTTATATTTCAATGATGAACTTGTGAATTAAAAATTAGCCATCTTGCTCAAACTAGTGTAGCCTGCTGCACTAAAAAGTTTTTGATTTGTCTTAAATGTGACAGAAAGCTCAAGAGCTACTTTGCCCATCTATCTAGTACTGTGGTGTGATAAAGTGTATTGATAAGAGAGCTCTCTTGATTATGGAGTTAGTTTAGTCTCAATTTAGTCTTGACTTTGATATAATCTTGGACACTGTCAATATGTACTGATACAGATTAACTATTTCTCTGCACTTGTCTTGTTAGTGTGTTGGAATAACACTGTATACTAATAATTTTTAATTTGTTTTACAATTTATTTTTGTTTTTAGATCTATATCATCTGAATGTTAGTGAAGCAACACCAATTTCAACTGTTCTGGTGACAGTCAAAGCTAATGATCCTGACACCCCTACAAGTAGAAATGGTATGGTCAGATATTCATTTGTATCCAGCGATCCAAGATTCCGCATTGATCCCAAAAGTGGCAATGTAAGTATGGGATCATGTTTATAGCACACAACTGGTGGGGGTGTTTTATCATTTTGATAATACTTTATTAAAAGGGGTTGGGTTTCATATAGAGAGCAATGCTAAATAATAATTTATTATTATTATTATTTTTGCTAAATTTTTGATGCTGAGAATCTTAGATAAATAAATTTGCATGTCTGACTTTAGATTAATTTCTTTAAACACTATTTAAGGCTTTTAGGCTTTTCTTTTAGATTTTCTTTAGATTTAACATGAAATTTTTTCACTAAAACTGATGTGATTACTGTTATTGGCTTTAGTAATTCATAGTAAACAAAGTTATATTGAGTACTGGTGAAGATTGTGGGGAGGGTTCCAAGAGAGTGTTATGAGGGGGTTAGTTGATGGAAAGGTTTTATAATGGAGTGAGCTATGAAAAAACCAAATCTTATATTTCTGTGTTACATCACAAGTACACATTATGTGTACAATATGTGTCTTTAACATAGTTCAGCTTTGTCAAGTTTATAAGGGGTCAGTAATAAATAGAGGTGGGAGTTGGAGGAATTCATTAAATTGTTAAAACTTGTAAACTATCCTCTCTCTTTAATCTATTAACAATATTGTTGTGTCAGATATCTTTGGCTGAGATGTTAGACAGAGAAACAGTGGCTACATACACACTGATTGTGAGAGCAGCTGATGCCTTGAATTCTACCAATTCAACTGTGTTTATTTCTGTAACTGATGTCAATGACAACACACCAGCATTTACTTCAGACATTTACAAGTAAAGTTTTTAATATTTAAATAATCAACTCTTACTAGCTAGAGTTACAATTTTAACTAACATTTTTTTTTATCAAAATACCTGCATCAAATAAATAAAAAATGTTTTACTATGCCTTTTTAAAATTGGTAATTAAGATCCAAATATATAATTAAAAACATGAGTTTGAATATGTTAGGAGGTAGGTGGAGGGGGAAGGGGAGTAGATGCCTTTGATTTTACCCACTCTCTAGTACCTGACAGGAACGAAATACAATGAAAAAATATTTTGGTTTGATCATAGCAACATAAAATAAAATACAATGAAAAAATATTTTGGTTTGATCATAGCAACATAAAAAAAAATACAATGAAAAAATATTTTGGTTTGATCATAGCAACATAAAATAAAATACAATGAAAAAATATTTTGGTTTGATCATAGCAACATAAAATAAAATACAATGAAAAAATATTTTGGTTTGATCATAGCAACATAAAATAAAATACAATGAAAAAATATTTTGGTTTGATCATAGCAACATAAAATAAAATACAATGAAAAAATATTTTGGTTTGATCATAGCAACATAAAATAAAATACAATGAAAAAATATTTTGGTTTGATTATAGCAACATAAAATAAAATACAATGAAAAAATATTTTGGTTTGATCATAGTAACATAAAATAAAATACAATGAAAAAATATTTTGGTTTGATCATTGAACCAAAGAATAAAATGCACAATAAGATGCAGAAGTTGATAAATATTGATTAGATAAATATATTGCGTCAACAATATTTAATCTTTCATGCAGTTTTTGAGTATCCTCAGCAATTGATCAATTATTCAACAATATTGAATTGACTAATATTAAAAAATTTGATAATAAAACTGGTTTTTAAGAGTGTTTCCAAAGGTTAAAAGCATACACGAGAAGAAAAAATATTTAAGGAATACTGTTTTATCATTTCTGCTTTAAGAAAAGACTAATAAAGTAATTAATTTTTGTAATAACTTACAGAGGTACCTTAAAGGAAACAGATGGACCTGGCACTTATGTACTGACTGTCACAGCCACTGATAGGGACGACCCAAATTTTAATGATTATGGGGTTGTTTCATATGCTATAGGTAAATCTGTTTTTTTTTTTACAATGTAAATGTTTCAAAATAAAAATGAAAAAAAAAAATAGTTTTTTTAACAAAAAATGTATTATTCGATCACTAAAGGAACAATATGATAAGCTCATTCTGTATGAGAAATTATGTACTAAATTATTCTTTGTGAAAAAATATCTTCAAAATTATTCTGTATGATAATCTATGTACCACATTATTCTGTATGATAATCTATGTACCATATTATTCTGCATGAGAATACTAAATAATTTCTACTTGAAAATGTTTCAGTTGGAGGCAGCCCATACTTTGCCATCAACTCAACAACTGGTACCATAACAAACTCTAAGACCCTGTCAGTTGACACTAGCAAAAAATCTGATTACACTCTGGTTGTATCAGCCTCAGGTAATCTCAAGAATCTCATCAAAAACAATGTGTTGACACATTTTCAAATTAACCCTAAAATGTCTGAATTATTAGACTAGCCTTAATCTAAACACAAAACAAGTTTGTGCATTGTAAAATGACAGCTAAAATTTATATAGCATGGTATTGGATCAAAATTTACAGAATGCTTTAGTCACTCCAGTCAACTTTTCTAGCCATTTCAAACATTGTTTCAATTTAAAAAATCACAATAGCCATTAAAATGTTAAGGAATAAGTTGTGTAAATATTAACCGCTGGTATTTGCCCATCTTCAGCAAAAAACTGCCATGCCATATAACAATTGAGCTTTAGAAATAAACTCTTGAAATGTGTTAACAGTAAAATATAATAAATAACAGTTGTGAAGTTAACATTTATTTGTTAGTATTTTCTTATTTGTTAGTACCATGTTATATTAAAAAGTTAATTTTTTTTAAAATCCTCAACTTTTAAAAATATTGATTTAATTAGAAATCAACTCATCAAGTCAAAATTAAAATAAAGGATCACATGACATTTTCTGGGCTAGCAGTCACACTCTCCACATCTCAACCACACCACCCAATAATCCAAAACTGAATCGTTATTTTTTCAAATTTATTTTAAAATATTTTTAAACAGATGCAGGAGGCAGAACAGACTCCCTGAACTCAACAGCTGTAGTCACAATTGTTGTGACAACAGTCAATGATTACGCACCACAGTTTTTACCCGGGCCTTACAGCATTGTGATCAATGAAACCCAGTTTAAATTTGGGGATGCTATTCTGATGGTAGGCCTACACTTTACTTTCACATAGAAGTTTAAATTTGGCTGTGGTATACTATTGATCTCTCAACTTAAAGTTTAAATGCATTATGAAATTATTGCAATTGTATTTTAAATTTGTATTGTATTTAAATTTGTATTGTAAAATTATGACTTAAAAATATAAAACCAAATTTAGCCTGCACATGACATATATATATATATCTAAACAAACAATACTATAATTTCAATTAGCTATTTTCCTACTTTCTATTTTTCTGTTAATGTATCATTTTTCAAAGATCTAATATAATTTTGAGATTACTTTATTAATTGATATTTTATAGCTAACAGCCTATGACAATGACACAAGTAAAGATGGAGAATTCACATTTGCCTTCCAAAGCCCCCAGACTAAATTTTCAATTACACAAAATGGATCAGTCTGTGAAATTCGCCTGAACGATAATTTGGACTTTGAAAACAATGACACACGATATGAACTGGTTGTCATAGTCACAGGTAAACAATGTTTCAACAGCTGTTTGTTATACATAGCTATAAAAGTGACTTTATTGATGAATGGTGAAAAAATGTTTTAAAATTACTTTAAAAATTATATATATTTATAAAATTAAAAATATAAATATTGTTAGATAAGATTACATTGTAGGAAAAATAGAAAATATTCAGAAATGTGAAAATAAAAAATTAATTTAAAAGGCCTCCCTCCCCCCCCCCCCCTCCCCAAGTTGATACTAAAATTCACATCTTAATCTAATTTATTCACATTCACTAAAATTAAAAACAACTATTGTTTACAGATAAAGGTGTCCCGCCTAAATCAGGGTCAGGAACTGTAACAATAATTGTGAATGATGTCAATGACAACCCGCCTGTCTGTGGCAGTGTCATCAATGTAGAGCGGAAAGAAGGTGCCACTCAGATAGCCACACTGACATGTTCGGACAAAGATCAGAATACAAAGCTGAATTATTCTCTCATAAGGTAAGGAGCATTGCTTCTGAGATTTTCTTGGACTTTTAAAGAAAAATACAAAATAAACTGGATAGAAATGTTAACATTGCAATCAAGCAATATAAATTATGCAGTGCAAGATATTGCTTTATTTCAATCCTTTTTTTTGTGTTTTTAATGTATTTTTTAATCAACCAAAACAACACTAAAAGGTCTAAATAATTATTTTATTTAATCAATTGTAATTTTTTGAAATAACTTTTCAGTGTTGAGCCAAACAAGATTACACTAGTTATCTCCCCTGCTGGAGAAGTCAATGTATCAACACCCTTAGATTATGAAGTAGCTCCCTTCTACCATATTCTGATTAAAGTAATTGTTTTTCATTTATTTTTCTCGTTTCATTTAATGTCAAATTTTAAAAAAAAAACAATATTGTGATCATAAGTTAGATTTCACTTTGTAGCAAAGATAATCAAACTGAAAACTATTCATAAGTTTTTAAATTATTTTTTTAAAATTGTACATCCCAGGTGGAGGATACTTCACAGCCATTTTTCAACACAACAGTCAGTATCAACCTGAAGTTGATAGATGTCAATGACAATGACCCAACCATCTCAGGGCCTCTTGTGTTTGCTGTGAATGAGACTGACACTATCAGCAACCGTGTTTTGTATCACGTCAACGCTTCATCCAACGATGGACCAACAGATGTCCTCAGATACTTTTTGCTTGACAAAACTTACTTTGATATAACGGAGGGTAAAGAAAAACTGTTTATGACTAATTCACTTTTTTAAAAAATGTAACAAATTATTTTTGGCAGGACTTTAGAGTTGAGAGTCAAATATTTAATGTAATCATCAACATCAAATATGTCGCAAAAAACATTAGATAAGAAATTATTGAAATTTTAATGATTTTATTTACTTATCAAACATTAGTATACAATTTAGTCTCTGTGACTATTTTCACAATTTTGTTTCAGCCACTGGTGAGATCACATTGAAAAACAATGCACCAGATTATGAAATGGTTGGAGGCATGTATTTGTTGCCAGTTTGTGTAGAGGACTCACCAAATCCAGTCAGGCGCAAAGATTGCAAAAATATTACTGTCACTATAATAGATGTCAATGATATGAGGTAAGAACCCTTAAAAGCTGACATAATTCTAACTATTTTATTAATTTAGGAGTCAGTTAAATTATTTTGAATTATTTTAATAGAATAAATACTTTTATTACTATTACTTTGCATTGTTAAAATATCATTTTACTTGGCAAATTGAAAAATGCATTATTAAATTTTATTTTTAATCTTTATCCACAATCAAATATGATTTTTATCAAGCATTATTAATTTATACTTTGAATATTATTCTTAATGAGTAGCCTAAACAATACATCTTTAACAAAGTCTTTCTTTTAGAATTAATTTTTTCCTTTGTATATTCCAGTCCTATTTTCAATCCATCTGTGTATGCTGCAGCCGTGCGTGAAAATATTTCCCAGATCACATTGTCGCCACCTGTGAGAGCCACTGATGGAGATGCTACACCTGCTTTTGCCAACATCACCTACTCCATTGTAGCTGGAGATCCATTAGGAAACTTCAGGTAAGTTGGGCTTACATTCAGCCACCATTCAATAATTTAAAAATCATGGCGATATCATAAATCTTCTATATATCATGCTAACATACTCAGTCTGAACCTGTCTTAGCTCCATGAAAATTTGAAAATGTTGATGGTTTAAGACAACTTTTATTAACTTTTTACAAAGAAATACATTTCAGTCTGTAAACAAGTATCTACTTCTCTTTATTTATTTATCCTTTATTGTCATCCCACCTACTTTTATAAATCCAAAATATATTTTCAGAATTAGTCAAGATGGAAACATCACAGTGATTTCCCCTTTGGACTATGAGAAAATAACAATGTATGATCTTATCATACAAGCATCTGACTCACTCAACACTGCAAACGCAAGCTACAACATCATAGTGCTACCTGTGAATGAATTTGATCCAATATTCAACTCAACTAATCAAACATTGAGCATAAAAGAAAACACACCAGTAAATTCCAATGTTACCCTACAAGTGAGTACTTACATGTATTTTTTCATATCTTTTTTAATTCTTGTTTTACTTTTACATTTCAAATTGTATACGATTTATAAAACTGTTTAATGTTTTTTGTTATAAATCTTAATTTTGTTTTTAGGTGTTTGCAACAGATGATGATAAAGGGCCAGACGGAGATATCTACTATTCCATTTCATCTGTTGATAATAAAGCAGGTCAGACTCTCATTCGACCTCTCACCTTTAACTTTACAATAAGAGTTTTTTACAGGCATCTCTACCCTAACAAAATGGAATTTATTAAAAAAAATATACTTTTATCAGTGTTGTCATCATTCCCCCTTCCCCCAGAAAATTTAGTCCCCCACCCCCAAAAATAGCAAGTGCCCCCCTCCCCCCATTAGAGAAAAAAGTCTGAAAGAAACACTGCTAACATTTACATTTTATTTATAATGTTACATTTTTTATTGAAACAGTTGTGAACAAAGTTAAATACATGATTCAAAAATTTATTTTGGCAGTTCCTTTTATAATTGATCCAAAATCTGGGGAAATCCGAGCCATTGCAAACATCGACAGAGAAGTTGACCAGTCCTTTTTTCTGTTGGTCAAAGCAACTGATGGCGGCAACCCAGCAAGAACAGGGACGCTGAGCTTAACAGGTGAAATGTCTTGCACAAATTTCAGAATTTGGGAATTAATAATACAGGATCAAATTGTTATACACAATTTTCAGAGGACTGTTACATAATAACACCTATAGACAGGGAAATAACTTCACAATGATGATCTAAAACAATAGAAATGTTTAAAATATGTTTCCATTCATTGATAACACAATAATATTTTTTGTTTTTATTTTTTAATTGTGCTGTTTTATGTGTATTCTTTAATAAAAAATGATGCCATTTTTCAGTGTCTGTTACTGACGTGAATGACAACGCTCCACACTGCAGCTCTAACTTCTACCCAGCATTTATTTCGGAGGCTGCTGGCGCCAACACATTGGTCGCCACTTTACGCTGTCAGGATGATGATAATGACCCATATAAACTCAACAACAATTTAACATACTCATTTGGTAAATTAACCATTGGACGTAATTAATTTCATTCAATCAGTATTAGACTTGGTATTTAACAACTAGTACAAGGTTAAAAATGTTAATTAATTCTAACCTACATTAAGTATAGTGCACAAGTTAATTGAAATATCTAAAATGTACAAGTGTTGTATCAATTTGTTATATTGTGTTATGTACTATTGGAGTTTCATTAAGAGAAATGTTATATACTTAAATAAATATATAAAAATACTGTTTCTTTTAATTTTTAATATTTTTGTAGCTTAAAATGGTTTGATCACTATGTTATTTCAACTGGCTTGTACTTTCTTTATTTTATACGATACAAAAGTTTTAAAATATATTTAGCTAGCAATCTTCTCTTAATCTTCTCTCCTAACATTTACTTGAAATAAATTTAAATAGAAGGTGGGAGAAGGGATTTCTAGAAATGTTATATGTATACAGTGGAAATTTGCATAATATAGGCTAATAAAGTGAATAAAATCAATTATCATTTAATTAGATATTTTCTAATTAAGTACTTAAAGATTTTTTATTTATTGTTGTAGTATCAGGGGAGACTGATGCATTTTTCATTGATGATGCTGCAACCTTGAGGGTGAAACCCAACATTGTGTTAGACCGTGAGACGGACGCCAGCTATAAATTGATAATCAAGGTGGCTGACAGTTCACCAGTACAAAAACTGAGTGTTACTGTAACAGTTTTTGTTACCATACAGGGTAAATAATGGTTTATTTTCATAAAAGTAAATATTTAAGTTGGATGTCAATGAGGTAGCCTACGTTAGTTAGTTTCTAACTAGGTGAATATTTGGTCAATTTTTTAAATTAGGTAGGCCTAAATATTGGTCAGTTTTTAATTATGTAGGCCTAAATATTGGTCAGCTTTTAACTTTTGATAATGCCCCAGCCCCAGTTAGTTTGACATTGATATTATTCCTTATTCTCCAGATGTGAATGACAATGCCCCAGTATATGTTAGTTTGACACTGATGTTATTCCTTTTTCTCCAGATGTGAATGACAATGCCCCCATGTTTTCTACTGTCATTGCACCTACAATTGCTGAAGACACAAACGTTGGAGCAGAAGTGGCCACAGTGTCTGCTGTAGACAGGGATGCTGGAGATAATGGTACTTCTAACGAGCTTGTGTTTAGTTTAGTGTTGTCTGCATGTCAGGTGACTATTCAAAAGATAATGGTACTTCTAACGAGCTTGTGTTTAGTTCAGTGTTGTCTGCATGTCAGGTGACTGTATTCAAAAGATAATGGTACTTCTAACGAGCTTGTGTTTAGTTCAGTGTTGTCTGCATGTCAGGTGACTGTATTCAAAAGATAATGGTACTTCTAACGAGATTGTGTTTAGTTCAGTGTTGTCTGCATGTCAGGTGACTGTATTCAAAAGATAATAGTACTTCTAACAAGATTGTGTTTAGTTTAGTATTGTCTGCATGTCAGGTGACTGTATTCAAAAGATAATGGTACTTCTAACGAGCTTGTGTTTAGTTTAGTGTTGTCTGCATGTCAGGTGACTATTCAAAAGATAATGGTACTTCTAACGAGCTTGTGTTTAGTTTAGTGCTGTCTGCATGTCAGGTGACTGTATTCAAAAGATAATGGTACTTCTAACGAGATTGTGTTTAGTTCAGTGTTGTCTGCATGTCAGGTGACTGTATTCAAAAGATAATAGTACTTCTAACAAGATTGTGTTTAGTTTAGTATTGTCTGCATGTCAGGTGACTGTATTCAAAAGATAATGGTACTTCTAACAAGATTGTGTTTAGTTTAGTATTGTCTGCATGTCAGGTGACTGTATTCAAACTTGGCTACATGGTGTCACAACAGTGTTGGTTGTGTCCTAGTGTCACAATGATGACAGGTATTTCATAGTGTCACAATGAGATTAGGTATCAGTGATCAGTATGACAACTGTGTCACATGGTGTCATTATAATGTCAGTTCTGTCAGGTCATAGTATTTAACCAAACAACTTTGTCACAATATGTCATAACCTATTACATTTTTAATCTGCAGATTTCAATTATAATTCTTCTATTGATCATAATTCGTTCTAATTGTATTGCTAGATTTTAAACTCTAAAACTAATCTACTAGCACATAAAATGTTGCAGCAACCTTTCTCACAGTTTTAGAATCCCTGTTTTCCCACGAAATATTTCCTCTGTTATTCCTTAAGCTGCCGTGCTGTACAGTATAACCAGTGGCAACACAGATGATACCTTCACAATTGATGTCCTAAAAGGCACAGTCATATTACAGAAAGCCTTGGACTATGAAACTACAAAAAAATATGTGCTTCTCATTACTGCACAGGTAGTTTTATATTTCGTTTACCTTCTGTAAGCACATGTGAAGTGAAAATTTATTTTTGTATAGCAACTTTTGTGTAGTGTAATGTATTTTTTTGGTTTATCTTTCTAACACACCTACTGACAAGTAGCATAATATGTAGGTTTTGGAGGGCTTGAATTCCCCCCCCCCCCCCCCCCCAAATAAAATAGACCCCAAAATTTATTGCTGTGGTACAGCTGTTGATGATGGCCTGCTCATATCATTTTCAATTTCAAAGTTTTTATATTTTTAAAGTCATTTTGATATATATATATATATATATATATATATATATATATATATATATATATATATATATATATATATATATATATATATATATATATATATATATATATATATATATATATATATATATATATATATATATATATATATATATATATATATAGATAGATATAGATATAGATATATATATATGTACATTTGTATGAAGCTCCTTCCTGTGCCACCACATCTGATGTTTTATGTTCAGTTATCATGTAACAGACTGTAGACAGACATAAGAGTAGGATACACTAGGTCACTTCTTCAACAGCCTCAGAAATTTTCCCATCCCTAATTCTTGTGTATTGTGTGTTAGTATCACAATGACGTCAGTGATCAGTATCAGATAGTAGATTAACTTAAAGTCCTCTCCACACCAGGACAAAGGGACCCCTGCCCTGTCTACAACTGTCAACATGACAGTTGAGGTCAAGGATGTGAATGACTCACCACCTGTCTGTGCTACGAGTGTGTACACCTCAACTCAGGTAGAGAACACGCATGATGTCACCATAGCAACGGTCAACTGTACAGATGCAGATACAGTTGGCGTCGTCAGCTATAGTATAACAGATGGTGAGAAGTTTTCCTCAATTAATTATTCCCAACAGGAAACTTTTTCACCTATTTCTATACTTGTTACATAATAGTACTATGAGAATGAACTCCGGGAAAGTTATGGGCCTTAGAGCAGAATTATGTAAACTTTTGCTTGGGGATTTTGCCAGGACAATTTTCTATTAGTAAATATAAATGTCTAGTTTGTTCACATATACAAAAAGTAAAGTACGCTTTTTCCTGTTTCTTTGACCTCAGCATATTAAGGGATAGTGTGGTCAGCATTATGCCCAGCTGCCTTTACTTTACCTAATGTTAGTTAGGTACCAATCAATAGTAGGTGGACTCAGGCTCAGCTTATGGTCTTGAGGCCATTGTCCTCATGTATAGTTGTTTTTTAAATTGGTCACTAAATTTTCAAAAGTTAAAATTTGTTAGGTGGAATTTTTAAAAACATTTTTGATAATAGATTTTCTATCACGGCTTAAATTGAAAGCTTATTACTTTGTCAGCTCTCCACACTGAAAGTTTAAATACCAGCCATTCTATTGTTGCAGGCAATGACAACAATTCATTTAACATCAACTCAAGCTCTGGCATTGTCAAGGTCAATGTCAACGCCACCTTGGACTATGAGAAAACACAGTTTTACACTCTTGAAATAACTGCATCAGATGGGGTTCATACTGCTAAGACTTATGTTAAGGTTAGTGTTTCTGTGTGTCTTATCAATAAACATCTGCTATTTGTAAACAAAGTGTGCACATGAAATAGACAAAAGTTGAGTGTTGCTAATTATGTTAAAATTATTTCTAATTATTGATAGAATAATGTGTATTTCATATAATAATAAAATTATGCCTAGAAATGATAAAATAAAATTATGTTACTAGAGAGGGGAGGGGGGAAGGGTATGTCTGACATCTCACAGTTTCCCGTTATATGAAAACCTGGCTATGCCACTGTAACAGTCATGTTATTTGAATTACAGGTTGCAGTTAAAGACGAGGATGAGTTTCCTCCACAGTTCACTCCCCCTGGGCCCTTCAATGTGTCAGTTAAAGAAAACCTGACACTTGATAGTCTGCTCATTAAGTTTAATGCCACTGATGGTGATATTTTTGACAACATTAAAATATTCACTATCCAATCTGGCAATGAAGACAGGATCTTTTTCATCGATAAAATAACTGGCAGCCTGCGGGTGAGTAGATGCTGTAGCCAGTTCAAGCAATAATTAAACAATATTTATTCTACTTTATTGATACTGGATGCTTTAAATGGACTAATATTATTTTTAATTAATTTTTATTTTACTTTCTTCATATTTAATATTTTTAATGGACTTATTAATATGTATTCTACTCTGTTGATATAAAATGTTTAAATTGACTAATATGTGTTTTTGTATTAATATTTATTCTAATTTATTAATTTTAAATGTTTTAAATGGACTAGAAAGTTTTGTTTTTTTAAATTATTATTTATTCTAATTTGTTGATGCTAAATTATTTAATTGGACTATTAAGTGTTTTCTTTTAATTCAATGAAACTTGAACTACATTAAATTATCTGAAATTTAGCAATGATATAAGTATTTTGTAGAATGATTAAATACACATGTAGTCATAATTAAGTAGAAATTACAAGCTTAACCTAGGCCTACATTATGGTTAAATTAAATGTACAACATCTGTCTCAGCTCCAAAATCCTCTGGACTATGAAACAAGAACAAACTTTACCCTGCACATCCAAGTGACTGACTCAGGGAACCTCAGCAGTGTTGCTGTGATTGACATAGTGGTGGAGGATGTGGATGACAACATCCCAGTCTGTCTAGACACAGTTGTTGTGGTCAGTGTGGATGAGAATGTGACCACTGCCATCCCCTTCACACCAGAGTGCAGTGATAAAGTAGGTGTATATTTTTAACTGCTACCTCACCATAACAATTATCAAGTTTATTGTTTCATATCAAAGATGAAGTTTTTTTAAACGTGATCCAAGAATCACATAAGGGCCTATTTTTTTCCAGATTTAAGAAACAAGATTTAACAGACCCTTAATGTATATATGAGCAAATAATTAGCAGAAGCTTGCTTTTTATATTTGTTTATGACATTTTTCTTGTTTACATTAAGTACTAAGAAATCACTTGATGTTTACTGAGAAATCACTTGATTTTTACTGATGTTCTAAAAGTCACTAAAGAGTTAGCATTAAATCAAAGTGTGACAAAATGCTGTAAACCCTCATAAAATATATTTCTCCTTAAATTTTTCAGGACACTGTCATTCCTTCTGATGGCAGATACACATTACAGTCAGGAGCTTTTCCAGAACTTCTATTTAACTCTACTACAGGTCTAAACTAAATACTTTTCTTTTTTAACCCTTTATGTATTTAAAATACTAAATGGTATAAAGAATAAAAACTTAGATTTTGTGTGTGTAATGTTCATATTGTTTTACCATGCCTGCAAGTGTCAAACTATCTGTATGTTAAATTGTATAGGTCAGTTAGCTTTGAAAGCCCCACTGGACTATGAAAATATGACCTATCATGAAGTGACCATTAAAGCTTATGGCGGAGGGACACCAGACCTGGGGGTGATCCTTATGGTCAGGATCAACGTCAGACCAGTGAATGAGTTTACACCTGTCTTTGTGAATACTGGACCTTTTGCTGTTCCTGAAAATGCTACCATTGGTAAATATAATTTTTTATTTTATTGTTTGCTTTATGAAAACTCATGATAGATTCAATAAATAAATATATAAATAAGTATATAGATAAATCAATAAATAAATAAATAAATATGTATATTTATATACATGTATATGCTTTGTATATATGTATATAATTTTTTTTCAAATGACCACCAGGCACATTAGTTGGCCAGATAAATGCTACTGATCAAGACAAAGGTTTGCTACAAGGTACTGTCAGGTACTATATTGTGGGCGGTGACCCGGACGAGCAGTTTGATATCAATGAGATGACAGGGGAGATAAAAACTACAAGCCCACTAGATCATGAGGTCACAGCTAATTACACACTAATTGTAGAGGCAGTTGATGACCTACCTACATCAGCCAATCAAAGAAGAGGTCAGCTTTACTTCTCAAAAAAGTTATTTATAAATATGAAACAAAAAAATATTTGTAATTCTTTAAAAATCTTTAATTTAAAAAAATAAATAAATATATATATAAATAAATAAATATATATATATATATATACATATATATATATATATATATATATATATATATATATATATATATATATATATACATATATATATATATATATACATATATATATATATATATACATATATATATATATATATATATATATATATATATATATATATATATATATATATATATATATATATATATAATTTATGGTTGCACTAAATAATTTTAAAAAAATTTAACAGTGAATGCAACAGTCAACATTACCATTGAAGATGTCAATGACAATCCTCCAGTGTTTAACTCCTCTATTTACAGGTAGTTAATGTTTTCATATATCCATTAGCAACTTTTTATTTTTATCTTTTTTTACAGGTATGATTGCTTTAGATGGTTAAACATATGATGTTTCTAAATTATTTGACTTGGTGTTTTATTTTATATAATATAGCCTCTTACTAGGTATTAGGTGTAGAAATAAACAATAATGGCTAGAAAAAAAAAGAATTAACTTAATTAAGCTTGAAGCTATTAAAAACTAAAATAAAGATAATGATTAATAATATTAAATATTTTTTTTTTCATGATGAAATCATACTGTACTTGATTTAGAATGCAGGGTTATAAAAGTTTTTCCCTGCTGCAAAAAAGAAAAGCTCACTAAAAAGTTTATTTTATTATATGCCTCACTATCATTTGAAAGATTCATAATAAAAACTTGTGTCCATCCATAGAGGGACTTTACTGGAGAATGACGCAGCCAATACTCTGATTGTTACCGTCACGGCTACTGACAGAGATGACCCCAACACTAATGATAATGGCAGGGTCAAATATAGAATAGGTAAGACATTTATTTTTTCATCAATAAAAGTAAATGGATTTTATTTACAGTCAACATGTCGACCAGCTTAGCATTTATTTTACAGTTCTTTAGTTACATAATGATTGAATTTTTCCCTGCACACAGTCTGACAGCAAAGTGCTTAATCGTGGTTGAAAGATTATATCTGTTATGGCTTTTAAACTTTCTGTTACGACTAGTTATCTGGTCATTTATCTTATTCCAGCAGAGTTTTAAAATTTTTGTATTGAGACATTTTTCTTGTCTGATCATTCATCTAGTACCAGCAGTTTTAAAAACATTTTGTATTGAGATATTTTTCTCATCTGAGCATTCATCTAGTACCAGCAGTTTTAAATTTTTGGTATTGAGATATTTTTCTCATCTGATCATTCATCTAGTACCAGCAGTTTTAAAAACATTTTGTATTGAGATATTTTTCTCATCTGAGCATTCATCTAGTACCAGCAGTTTTAAATTTTTGGTATTGAGATATTTTTCTCATCTGAGCAGTCATCTAGTACCAGCAGTTTTAAATTTTTTGTATTGAGATATTTTTCTTGTCTGATCGTTTATCCAGTACCATTAGTTTTAAATTTTGTGTATTGAGACATTTTTCTCATCTAATCATTCATCTAGTACCAGGAAGTAACAGCTCTAAGTTTTCCATCAATGAAACAACTGGAGAGATCAGAAACACAGAGGTCCTTGATGCTGACTTGACTGGGGTTACACTCTATAAGCTCACAGTAACTGCCACAGGTAACGTATTGATTGTGATATTATGAACAAGTGACATTATGAAGTTGTTATATATATAACATGTGCGATTTTGAACAATTTCTATTTTCCGCAAATGACATTTTGGATAAATGATATAAATAATTGTCTTTCAAATCAATTTAAAAAATTAAAACTTTTATTAATTGAATACTTCATCACATGGTAAACACAAAAAACGTTTTTGCTTCTTTAAAATTCATAACATCTGCAGAATTATAGAAAGGGGAAAGTATAATAAAGATTTAGTTGATTCTTAACTCAACATACCAGAGAGCTCCTTTGTATGGTTTAATGAAATCACTATGGTAAATTTAAAATTTTAGACCACAATGGTCAGTCAGGTGCCCTGACAGCAACAACTTTAGTGGCTGTAGATGTGAAGACGGTCAACGAGTTTCCCCCTGTCTTCAACTTGAGCCTTTACTCTGTGACAGTCAATGAGACACAGCTGAAGAATGGGGACACAATCCTTCTTGTGAGTACAACACCATGTTCACATTGTATCAACTACAGCAGGCTACTCATTATAACAGTCCTACACCACTTTCACACCCTGTATTAACTACAATACTCACCATACATTTTTAAACTCCTTTTTATATATAGGACTATGTAATGTGAGCTTCAAAATTTTCAGAATTTTTTTTAAAATTAGTAACTTCGGTTACCACTAGATAGAAATATTTGCACAAGAAAAAACTGCAATAGAAAACTGCAAACTGAAAAATGTGCAAATACAAACTTATCATACTAATGCACTTTAATTTTGTAATATTTCATGGAAAAGTGTTTTATTATGCTACAATGTACATGTGGTCATAATTTCTAGTGTCTATAAATGCTCAATTTAAGAAAACAAAAATACCCTTGCATTTTTCTGTTACACATCTTTCCTGTCACTGAATGTAACATTGTGAGTTAACAATGTGATGACGTAGATTCTCTCACTCACAGATATCTGCCATGGACAATGACACAGGTCCAGACGGGGACTTTGTGTTTAGCTTTGTTGTGTCACAGCCCAAGTTTTCGCTGGTCCAGAGGGGTCGCCAGGCGGAGATTCTGCTTGATGGAGTGTTTGATTATGACCAGAATGACACATTATTTGAGTTTCAAGTTCAAGCCATTGGTCAGAAAAAAATTTTTGTCTTTAAAATTTGTTTTACATTTTAAGTTATTTTAAAAAGACTTTTGTTAGACACAAAGAAAAGGAATGAAAAAAGTTTTTGTTTATTTTATTTTGTTTTTTCTTTAGTAAATGGAACAGACAAAATTTTATATATTTTATTAATGTTTTGATGCATTGTAGGCCTACAGTAAATGGAACAGACAAAGTTGTATATATTTTATTAATGTTTTGATGCATTGTAGGCCTACATTAAATGGTATGGAAAAATGTATGGTACATTTTATAAATGTGTAGTTTCATTGTTCAGTAAATGGAATGGAAAAAGTTCATGTATATTTTATAAATGAATTGTTTTGTTGTTCAGACAAAGGTGTCCCAGCCAGAAGTGGCGCAGCCAAAATCTCCATCAGAGTGACAGATGTCAATGACAACCCACCCATGTGTGTCAGTGTCATCAACATTGACAGGCCAGAGAACACAGACAAGATTACAAACATCACCTGCACTGATGTAGACACCAATACACAGCTGGCATACAATGTGACCAGGTGAGTTCTTGTCTTGACCAGGTGAGTTCTTGTCTTGACCAGGTGAGTTCTTGTCTTGATCAGGTGAGTTCTTGTCTTGACCTGACGAACTATAGTTAAAGTATATGATCATGATCAAGGGACGTAACTGATTTTAAAGATTGAAATAAATGTGTTTCTACTAGTGTGACGCCAGCCAACATACAGCCAGTTGTCTCCCCTCTAGGGGAGGTCAGTGTTTTGACAGCCTTAGACTTCGAAAAGGGGACTGCATACACCATTGTTATTTTGGTAAATAATATTTTTAATATTTAAAATAAAGTATTAAATAATAATTTTTTTATGAATCATTTCACTGCCACTATTCCATCATAATATTTTGTAGTATTTTTGGTTACATACTGTTATACTCACTAAACTAAACTAAAGATGATACTATTTATTTTATTTTTTTAAAATGAATTTCATTTAATCAACCAGGTGATTGACAAGTCATCAGGAAACCCTGTACAAAGTGCCAGCGTCACCATTAATTTGAGAGTCACTGACATCAATGAAAGCCCTCCTTCCTTCAGTGGGCCCTTCAGTTTTACAGTGCATGAAAATGACAGTGCCAGCAACGTAGTGCTGTACAGGTGCAATGCCTCAGGCAATGATGGACCCTCTGATGTTGTCACGTTCTCTTTAACAGATACAACATACTTTGCTGTTGCACCAAGTAAATTTTTAACTCATTTCTTTAATGAAGTTATACAATGATGGTTTTTCATAATATAAGAGGGAAAAAAATTTACATTTACTTGATGAAATATTGATAGTGTAAATATTTTGATATATTTTAAAAATCATACTTTTATACTTCTTAAACTGTTTTTGAATACATTTTTAAAGGTAGAAACAAAGTAAATAAGTTATAAGTGTTAGGCATTTGCATTGTGTCTACAAGATTTAGCTGAGTTATTAATCAGCAGAAATATCAACAAAAAGAAATATAAAGCTAAGTAGTATTTTTAACTTTTGTTTTTTAGAATCAGGGGAGGTAACTCTCAAGACAAAAGCCCCAGATTTTGAAACCGTTGGTCCAGTTTACAAGCTTGAGGTCTGTGCAAGAGACACAGCAAACCCTGTTGCCTTCACAACATGCCAGAACATTACAGTTAATGTTATTGATGTTAACGATATGAGGTTAGTTTTCAATGCTAGTCAATTGGATTTATACACACAAGTGTATGTTAAACAGTTCTTACTATAAAGTTCAGTCTATCAAATAGGGTAGGTAGGGCAATACTGTTTCGATATGAATAATAATTTTTATTATTTTGATTAGACAAGCATTGTAACAGTGCTATATGTTTAATGTTGCTGTTTCTGTGATAATATATGTTGAATTATGAATTATTTATTGAATGATATCAGCTTTTCAAAAATGCTTCTTACATTATAATCTTTACATAAGTTGTTTGGATATAATAAAGAAATAAATCTTATAAAAATATTTTGATTAAAAATTATTTTTAAGTTTCACTAATTAAGGTTTTGATCCTTTCTAATTATCATTTTAATTTTTTCTAATTAGGCCTACTGTTTTAATTTTCTCTAATCAATGTTTTTAATTTTCCATAATTGATATTTTTATTTTTCTCTAATTAATGTTCTTAATTTTTTCTAATCAATATTTTTAATTTTCTCTAATTAATTTTTTGAAAATTTTCTGTAATTAATGTTCTTAATTTTCTCAAATTAATAATTTAAATTTCCTCCCCCCAGCCCGATATTTCGCCCTGAGGTGTACACAGTGTCAGTGCCAGAGGATGCTGTGGTGGGCACTAGACTAAAACTGGCAGTAACAGCAACAGATGGGGACACCACACCAGCTTACCACACGGTCACATACCAGATCCTTGCTGGCAACATGGACGGCAAGTGGAGGTCAGTCTTCAATGGTCAACCTACACCTACTCATTAACTCCCTTTTACTAGTTCAACTTGTGCTTTATTTTTTATTTCTGCCACTAATCAAGCTTGATCTTAATTAAAGCTCTTTAAACAAGATATAATCGGAATTTTAAGAGCATTTTTCTAAATTTAAAAAAAAAACCTAAAGATAATCTATAGAACTTTGAAGGATTTTACTCTGTAAACAATTTTTTGTCTTTCTGCACAAGATGTTATTTATACGACTAAAGAAAAAACCCCAGTAATCACAATTTGATTCAAGCTCTTAAAGAAAAAACAAATAGTTTCATTGTTTTTGCTGTGTCTATTTTGCTCTCAGTTTCAAATTTGCTGTGACTATCTTGTACCCATAATCAATTTTGTTGTGTCTATCTTGTACCCATAATCAATTTTGTTGTGTCTATCTTGTACCCATAATCAATTTTGTTGTGTCTATCTTGTACCCATAATCAATTTTGTTGTGTCTATCTTGTACCCATAATCAATTTTGTTGTGTCTATCTTGTACCCATAATCAATTTTGTTGTGTCTATCTTGTACCCAGAATCAATTTTGTTGTGTCTATCTTGTACCCAGAATCAATTTTGTTGTGTCTATCTTGTACCCAGAATCAATTTTGTTGTGTCTATTTTGTACCCAGAATCTGTGTTGCTGTGTTTCTCTTGTATCAAGAATCTGTTTTAATTTGTCTATCTTGTCCCCAGAATCAACAGCAGCAGTGGTGAGATTGAAGTAGCTGGAGGTCTGGACTATGAGAATGTGACAAGTTACTCACTGGTGATCCAAGCAACTGACAACACCTACACTACCAACGCAAGCTACACCATACAGATACAATCTGTCAATGAGTACCCACCAGAATTTTCAGCTGCTGCTGAGAGTGTCACAATTTCAGAGGATACTCTGACTAACTATACCTTCAAACTTAAGGTGAGAATAAATATATTTATTATGAAATTAATTAAATATTGTGTAACAGGCTTTACCTTTAAACTTAAGATAACATTAATCATTCTTTGTATCAAATTAATGTAAATATTGTGTAACAAACTAAACTTTCAATCTGGATGTTAAAACAATCATTTTGAAATGAAATATTGTGTGGCAAATCAAGCCAATGGCTACTGGATTTTTTTTAAATTATAAACTATTAAAGTGTTTATAGCACAATGAATATCTAGATAATTAATTACTAATTTCTCAGTTACTTGACAATCTATCAAGACTATGGAATTAATCCTGAACTTTGTGTTCATTAATGATTAATTTTGTTGCTGTAGGCCACTGTGACAGATGGAGATGCTGGTCCAGATGGCATGTTTACATTCAGCATAGACTCAGGTTGGTGCCAGTTCTATTTATGCTATACAAATTGTAATTTATAGTTCTACTTTTTTGTAAACAACTCATTAAAAGTATCCTAAGTTTATCATAAAAATACATTAAAAAATGTCTCACAGTGCTATACATTTTCTTCCATCCCCTCTACACATTTACATTTTCTTTTGAGCAGGTCCATTAGCCATCGACCCAGTTACTGGACAGCTGAGTTTGGTTACTTCCCTTGACAGGGAGACAACCCAAACAATCACTTTAAGGGTCATGGCAACAGATAAAGGCAAACCTCCTAAATCAGGGGTTCTCAGTTTAACAGGTAGGTCTCTTAAATCAGAGGTTCTTATTTTAACAGCTTAGGCTCCTTAATTCAATCTCTTGCTTTTACAGGGCTCATAAATCATGGGTTCTTATTTAATTATTTGATTTTTTTTTTAATGTCACGCAACATTTTAAAACTTTCCAGTCAATGTGGGAGACGTGAATGACAATGCACCAGCTTGTGCTAAAGGTTTTTCCACAACCAGTTTTCCAGAAAACTACCAGGCAATCAACAGTATCATCGCTGTCTTGGACTGCAAGGATGCAGACAAGGATCCAGAGATGAGGAACAATGCCATCAGTTATACACTTGGTAAGATATTACTGGGAGGGAGGGGGGGGGATGCTATGTCAGGTGCCTTTTTAAAGTAATATAGAGGGGGGGTCTAGGTCAGATGCCACCCTAAAGAAATTAAAGCTGAAAGCATTTGTTAAAAATTTAAAAACAGAATAATAATAATTTTTTACCTAACTTCATTATAGTATAAGTATTTGTATGTTAGATGCTGATAGCAACTTAAATAAATATCTGACTGATACTTCTAATAAACATCCCAATAACAAATGTGTTTAATAAATATTTGACAGTTTTACATGTTTTGAAAGCATATGAGTTTTAAATTTTTCTATTAAATACTCAACAGCTTCAAACATTTCTGGAAAATTTGAAGTGAACCCAACAACAGGCGTGGTCAAGGTTAAAGACGGAGAAGTGTTTGACAGAGAGGCTCAAAGCTTGTATAAAATTGTGATACTGGTGGCGGATAATGGTACCAGCATAAGACTCAGCACAACGGTCACAATAGATGTTGCCATTGCTGGTCAGTTGAAATCTGGATAATGCTGGATATAAAAATACAGTATATTTAATTTAGTTGTTTACTCATGCAGAATAAATACAAAGTTTTAATGCAAAGGTTGATTTATGGTTATTGGGAATGTACAATATTTTATGAAGCAATGAATCCAATTATTTCTTACAGACTGTAATCATAACCAGCCAATGTTTAGTAATAAAGCAAATTGTCTTATAATTTCTAGCAGACTCTAATAATAATCCTCCATACTTAAATATTATATCCAATAATTTCTTGCAGACTCTAATGATAATGCTCCATACTTAACTATTATATTCAATATTTTCTTGCAGACTCTAATGATAATCCACCATTCTTAAGTATTATGTCCAATGATTTCTTGCAGACTCTAAGGATAATCCTCCATACTTAACTATTATGTCCAATGATTTCTTGCAGACTCTAATAATAATCCTCCATACTTAACTATTATGTCCAATAATTTCTTGCAGACTCGAATGATAATGCTCCATACTTAACTATTATGTTCAATAATTTCATGCAGACTCTAATGATAATGCTCCATACTTAACTATTATGTCCAATAATTTCTTGCAGACTCTAATGATAATCCTCCATACTTAACTATTATGTCCAATAATTTCTTGCAGACTCTAATGATAATCCTCCATACTTTACCTATGTCCCACTTGTAACTGTGTTGGAGAATGTGACAGCAGGAACAGTCTTAGAGCACATCATCGCTAAAGATAATGACACTGGTTTAAATGGTGAGTTGGCACATTCTAACTAATGACAATAAACTCTTTATAATTGTTCTATAACTGACTTTCTCAAGAGCCAAGCAACCATGTCTAAAGTTCTGAAAAAGAAAACAATACTAAGTACTAATCTCTACCCACCCTCAACACATATTACACATTGTCTATAATTGCATCACTTATTTTATCCAGTTAGATAATGTTTTTAAAAAACTCTCCCTATATCTATAAGTCATTAACCCCCCCACCCTCAACACATATTACACATTGTCTATAATTGCAACACTTATGTTATCCAGTTAGATAATGTTTTTAAAACTCTCCTTATATCTATAAGTCTGAGTATAAGTCATTCACCCCCCACCCACACACACACACTCACTCCCACACTCCTATGCAAATCTCCATGCCTATACATATTTCCCCCTTCAAATCTAACAAGCATAAAAAACTTTAATATAACATTTAAATCTTCTCAACTCAATTGACCTACTCTATCACTTAGCTCAACTGACCTACTCTATAACAAGTGGCAACATAGGAAATGTGTTTAGGATTGACATGGTGGATGGGACTCTACTTCTCCAAGGCAGCTTGGATTATGAAACTATCCCTCTATATCAGTTAGGGATTTCAGTAACTGTAAGTTATTGGATTATTTCTAGATATATTAGTTAAATCTCTGACTGTTGAAATAGCACTCTTTTGGACCTGAAGTTCAAATATAGCTAATCACTTTCTGTGATATTGACTTATGAAGCATTTCTGTGGTCGAGAATCTTTACTTTTCCATACCTGAGCCAATTGGGTAGACTCAAGGATGTCCTAATGCTTCAAGTCCAGGTATAAAACTACTGCAGCTGTACACTAGTTATGGGAATGTTTACAGTTTTCTATTATTTTAAAAACCTAAACATCTTAGATAAATTACTACCTCTTGCAACTGTGATTGGTTAGATTACTTTTTAAAAATTCCAAACAAATTTGTTTGTATAATTATGACTTATCTAAAGTTATTAAACTTTTATGTAACTTTCTTAATTTATTAAACCTTAACGTAACTTTCTTAAGTTATTAAACCATTATGCAACTTTATTAAGTTATTAAACCTTTATGTAACTTTCTTAAGTTATTAAACCTTTATGTAACTTTCTTAAGTTATTAAACCATTATGTAACTTTCTTAAGTTATTAAACCTTTATGTAACTTACCCAGGACAAGGGGTCACCCAAGTTGTCAGCTACTGCCACAGTGACAGTGTCAGTTCAAGACGTCAATGACTGCCCTCCTGTTTGTAACTCAACACTCTATGTGGACGAGATACCAGAGAACTCAAAGGGCATAACTCTAGCTGTCATTTCTTGTAGGGACCCTGATACTGTGGGTACTCTCACGTACAGCATTACAGATGGTGAGTTTTTGTTTTTACTGTACTCTAAAGCATTACAGATAGTGAAATTATTCTATATGCTGTATCTACAGCATTATAGATAGTGAAATTATTACAGATAGTGAAATTATTCTATATGCTGTATTTACAGCATTACAGATAGTGAAATTATTCTATATGCTGTATCTACAGCATTACAGATAGTGACATTGTACTTAAATCATTATAGTTGGTTATTTATTGTACATAGCATTTTAAACATTAAATTATTGTGCTACCTGTGACAGCAATATAGGATATTACACAGTATTACACAGTTGAATGTTTGCTTGTGAGTCTATGCTATTAGTACTATAATAGTAAAAGAAAAACTTATTAAATTCAGATGTTACAGATTTTTTTACTAACTGTTCTACCTTTGTTTCCAGGCAACCAGAATAACACTTTCAATATTAACTCTACCACTGGAGAGGTCATCTTGCCTGCCAATGCTAACCTTGATTATGAAGAGGTTCAGTCCTACACATTAGAAGTGACAGTCTCTGATCAATCACATTCACTAAAGATATACCTCAAGGTCAGATTTGTTTGATTTAAAAAAATTTGAAGTAGAAATACAATTATTTATGACACTATTTTTAAACAGGCTGTAGGCCTATTTGATAGAAAAAAGTTTAAAATGTTGATCTGCTGATTTTTTAAAAATGTGTGCCTTGTAGATGCACTTTTGCATGGTTGATTTTTGTTTTACTATTTCAGGTAATTTTAATTTTTTACAGTCCGTACATTTTCATTTTACAATAATTTTGTTTTACATTTACGTGTGATGAAACTATTAAATAAGATCTTAGTTACCTATAACAGAACACCATTGACAACCTTTAAATTATTTATTCATTAGGTGGAGGTCACAGATGTTAACGAGGCGAGTCCAGTTTTCACCCCGAGTGGACCCTACACAAAATCTGTGCCAGAGAGCATCAAAGTTGGCAGCGTGGTGTTTGACGTGAATGCCACGGACGCTGACAAATTTGATCTGGTCAAAATCTTCAGCATCATCGCTGGAAATGCTGAGGGCAAGTTCTCAATGGACCCTGGGTCAGGGATAATCAGGGTGAGTAGGTGCTGCTCCAGGTTTCTATGGTCACTAGTGGCTAAATTTGGCTTCTGGCAGTGGTCACTTCAGCTCAATCTATTCCGCTGTATTTTTTTAACTATTTATATGTGTGTGTGAACAAGGGTTTTTGACAAACATTCCCATATAGCCTATATGCAGTAATAGGGGACGATGTGGTCAAATGGTAGATCCTTTGACTTCCAACCCAAAATTCGTGAGTTCAGATCCTGGGCTTGTCCATAAAATGTCCCTGATGATCAGCCTTACAATATGGAAGGTAAAGGCAGCTGTACATAGTACTGACAATCCTATTCCTTCATATGCCGAGGTCACTGAAACAGGTGAACTCTACTCCACCTGCTCCATAGCCCATAAGGTTCAAAAGGGAATTTTCTTTTTTATAGGTTAAGCAGCTTTGGAAAAAAAATCTTTGCTTTTTAAATTTTGCCATTTTAATTCTAAATTTTACTTGGTTCACCATTTTACATATGAGTGTCACAACATTTGTTTACATCAAATACATTATTGTTTTAGAAGAAATTGATAAATATAAGTTAAAATTAGTTTATCATTATAAAATTTAATGGTAAAACTATCTTAGTGATTAATGTGCATTAAATTTATACCTAAAACTATATTTTCACTTCATATTTAAAACTTCCAAGCAAAATTGATGGACAAAACTAGTATCTATAAACTGTTGCAGATGTTATTAATTCTTTCCAGAGCAAGTGGTGATCTATGAACATTAAAATAATTAAAATGTGTAATTACACAAAAGCAAAAATTTAAACATAACATGATGTTTGTTAATTACACAAAAAGTTAACTTTAAAATGATGTGTGTTTGATATTATTTTGATTCTGTCATTTACCAATACAGACACTGGCACCTCTGGACTATGAACAAAAAACTTTCTATACTCTGACTCTGCTTGTACAAGACTCCACTGGGCTCAGCAGCAACACAACCCTGAATGTCACTGTCACTGACGTCAATGACAACCCTCCTGTCTGCACTGATCTGGCAGCTGTTGTCAGTGTGGATGAGAATGTCAACAGTAGGGTCCTCTTCACTCCCAACTGTACTGATGCTGTGAGTGGTGTAGTCAATGAACAGAGACATTTTACTTCCAGTTATGGGAATAGATACACTTTTGAATGTCTTGTTAACTTCAAAACCTGAAGAGTTCTTCGCTTTCATTAGCTTATATTTTATTTATTAAAGAGTTGCTCTTTGTAATTATTGTTTTTATTTGTTAAATACTAATATTAATTCTAATCATTTTTGTTTTATTTTGTTAAATTAAGTTTTTTTTCTGTTATGTTTTGGCACTAATCTTTTCAACACATATCATTATACTAATTATATTTATGATTATATTTGTTTTATTAAGCTCTATTTTTACCACAGGATAAATCAGCTTCCCCTGTACTTCAGTATTCCATTCTGTCAGGGAACAATGTGGCTTTAGCTTTCAGCAACACTTCAGGTGAGCCAAGTGAAAGACAACAAAATGTTTTGCAAATTTTCCTCTTTTTATTATAAGTTTATTTTTTTTTTACAATTTGGTCTATATGTTTGCTTATGTTTCTACAAATAAATAATTTATTTGAATTTTAAAAATTGTTTCTGTCAAAAGTCATGTTTTATTTTTATATAAACTTTATTTTATTTTATCACACACTGATCCTCACAATTCTTGACTCTAAATTTAGGCCAACTGTCCCTACAAAGTGCATTTGACTATGAGAAAACAACAGCTGTGACCGTTGTGATGAAGGTCTCAGACAATGGGTCCCCAGAGCTCTTTGTCTTGATAAATGTGACCATCAACATCAACCCTGTCAATGAGTACAGCCCACAGTTTGTACCAGGAACAGCCATTGGACCTTTCTCAGTTCCAGAAAATGTAACACTAGGTATCCACGTTTATTTCAATTTTTTTACATATTTACTTTAATGATGACAATAAAGAACAATTTTACAAATTCAAAAACTTATTTATTTTAAATTGTAAAGATGAAATATTCAGTTTATTTAAAGTTATTTATCAATTTAATTAAAAATCTATACTCACTTTGTTAGTTTATTTGTGATATTTGTTTCCTTAAATTTTATAAATAAAATATTGTTTTTTTATATTCACAAAACACATTTGTTTCACAATTTTAAACATTTCTTAAATTAAAATGTTTGTACTAATCTTGGAATTGATTAATAATGTAGATTAATAGATTATATTTGATATATTCAAATAAATAAAAAGTAGAGAACAAAAGATAAAATTATATTTTTGACATAAAGATATTTATAATGTATTTTCTAACTAACTTATCAGTACATTGCTAACTCTCAAATGATTGTATTTCTCCAAGGCTATTTGGTGACAAAGTTAAATGCTACTGATGATGACAAAGGTCTGCTACAGGGGACAGTGCGCTACCAGATCATCAGCGGTGACCCCCAGCAATTCTTCAACATCGACCAAAACTCTGGCGCCATCAAGGTGATCAGGGCTCTGGACAGGGAGACTACCCCAAGCTACAATCTTACAGTCAAGGCCAGCGATGACGAGCCAGGGTCTCCCAACCAAAGAACTGGTCAGTGTGTCATTTGGTTTGGTTTCATATACAAAAACATATGTAAACTGCTGCATTTTATACAATGTAACTTCCACTTTTGGATCTAATTATGAATAAAGTAGATGAAGTAGAGTACACCTGTTTTCACGACTTGTAGCTTAATAAAAGACTATTGTGATTATATATCCAGCAGCCTCCAATATAAATAAGGCTTTTGGTCTTTTTTAAAGATGTGCTTAACCAAGCTTGTTTTTTTTAATTTCATGTATACCAGTAGAAATAATATATTTAGCATGGATGTAAAATTGTTTTCAAAACGTTAATTTAAATACAGCACTGTAGCCATGTCTAGAGGGACAACGAATGTGTCTGTGGTTGTTTTTAAATACAATTTATTGCTACAGGCATCAACAACTCAAATGTTTGTGGCTGTTTTTAAATACAATTTATTGCTACAGGCATCAACAACTCAAATGTTTGTGGCTGTTTTTAAATACAATTTATTGCTACAGGCATCAACAACTCAAATGTTTGTGGCTGTTTTTAAATACAATTTATTGCTACAGGCATTGACAACCAAAGTGTCTGTGGTTGTTTTAAATACAATTTATTCCTACAGCCACTGAAAAACTCGTGTCTGTGGTTGTTTTTAAATACAATTTATTGCTACAGCCACTGACAACTCAAGTGTCTGATGAAATTTAAAAAAAAAAATATTTTTACAGCCACTGACAATGAAATGTTAAAATAAATTTTATTTTTACAGCCACAGCAACAGTGTCCATTAAAGTGTCTGACATCAACGACATGACCCCAGTGTTTACCCCCGCCCTGTACTTCCAGACAGTGTCTGAGAATGCCGTTGCTGGACCTAATGTGAACATTGTAGACCTGACTGTCCAGGATGAGGATGAGCCAGGTGTCAACAGTCAGATGACCATTACAATTACTGCAGGCAATGGGGAGAATAAGTTTTCTATCAATGGTAGGTTTTGTCCCCTAATGGACCATACAAATATAATAGCTGGCATGCTGTAATAAGTGTTGTTTAATCTTATAATCTCTGTTGAAATGTATACATTTAATCTTAATGTTGAATAGAGTGTAATAAAAAAAATATCAATAAGCATTATATTTATTAAACTTACAATCAATAAAAACCATAGTGACATTCAAAACTTTTTTGACATGAAAGAAACACCTAACACCCCACCACTTCCCCCACATTTTAGTGGAATGTTTTTTCATCCAATGGATAGTTACCTTAGCTCTTCACTGATTGGTCTACATAACACCAAGGGCACACCAATTTAAAACTGAAAGTAATAGAATACATTTCCATCTAATTTTGTAAACTTTTTTGGAATATTATAGCATTATGAAACATTTTTGTAATTGTTTATAGAAAATGATAGCAAGTTTGTAAGAGTTAATGCAACAATCATGTATTTCCAGGCACTCATCTGGTACTTCAGAATGGCCTGGACTATGAGAAAACAAAGAGATATGAGTTGACCTTGACAGTGACAGATGGTGGCTCCCCTCAGCTTAGCTCTAGTGGTCTGGTGGTCATTGATGTCACACCCTTCAACGAGGCAGCACCTCTGATGAACATCTCATCACTGACCAAAGAGATTCCAGAAGACACACCTGTAGGGACTCTGGTTTTTGATGCTGATGCCTCAGGTCAGTCTTACCTGAAAAATCTTTTCTTGTTCGTGCCTAAGACACATGGGGCAGACGAAGTAGAGTTCATCTGCTTCAGATATCTCAACACATGAAGGGACAGTGTGGTCATTACTATGCCCAGTCGCCTTTGCTTCCCCTAACTAAGTTAGGTACTCATCAGAGCTGGGTGGAATCAGGGACTTTAACTCTGATTCAAATTCAAAACTTTTGGTTTAGCAGTCTAGCTCTCTACCACTAAGCCAAGCCACGCCATATTGAAACAATATGTTGCTTAATTGAGTCTTATCTAAATTATTGTTTCACAATCATTTTGATTTAAGCAAACTAATGTGATGCTAAATGATATATCTTTCTTCTAATAACTGTCAAATAATATTATTTTAATTCATCAGATTGGCTCTTTGTGTGTGTTTCAGTTATTCAACATAATATTTAACCACAACTACTATAAAACAATTTATTTAAAAAACCGATTTTTTTTTTTACCATAAATAACCTTAACTTCAAAAAACTTGAAACTTTTGAGTAAATAGGTCTTTAGTTTTATAATTTTTTTTATATTTTAAAAGTTTTTGTTATATATACCATATAACAATAAGCAATGTAATCAAAACTTGAATCCCTCTTCAGACCTGGATGGTGGGATGCAAGGCCAGATAGTCTACAGCATAGAGAGTGGTGTCAGCAACAACGACTTTGTCCTTGACCCCACAACTGGCAGGCTGTATGTCGGCTCATCTCTGGACTTCGACCAAGGACCTAAAAGCTACTCCATCATCATCAGAGCAACAGATGGCGCTGGGAGTTCCAGCAAAACCTCCACAGCTTCCCTCAGCGTCATCCTGAGCGACGTCAATGACATCAGTCCTCAGTTCTCCCAGAGCACATACTTGTTTAATGTGAACGAGAACATGGTCAATGGCACGACAGTCGGGACCCTCACTGTCACTGATGGTGGTCAGTAGTCGAGGAAATATAAACACATTTCTAATTAAATACCCAGAATAATTTGAAGTAAACTACACTTGTTAATTTTGGAGAAAATTTTAAAATTGTTTTTTAATGAAAATGTTTTCACTCTTTAGATTCAGACCTCAATGGTAAAATTTCTCTTGTGATTACTGGAGGAAGTGGCCAGAACATGTTCAGGGTTAATGGTACAACTTTGGAGATTGTGACCAATGCAGTCTTTGATTATGAAAAAGATAAGGTAATTTATTCAATTAAATATGTTCTAAACTTTCATCAAATACTCACTCACATATCCATCAAAAAACACATCATCTGTCACTATTAAGAGAAAAAATATCTGTTTCATTTTTGGTTAACACTCATAAATTTATAGTGTATTTTAAAGTAGAAACAGTTGAACAATGCAGAAACTTAAAATTGCTTATTTTTATCATGACAGATCCTGTCCTTATCTGTACTTGCTAGAGATGGTGGCACGCCTTCACGTAATACAACTTGTTTTGTTCAAGTTGGCATCAACAACATGAACGACAACCAGCCTGTCATTGTCCCCATGGACTTCACCACTCAGGTCTCCGAGGGCCTGGCTGTAGGGGCTGTGGTCCAAACTTTTTCAGCCACAGACCTGGACAATGGTGTTGACACTTACAGCATTGTGGGAACCAGTAGCTTTTTTGATGTAAGATTCTTGTTTCATGAACTTTTTGATGTAAGATTCTTGTCTAATGAGCTTTTTGATGTAAGATTCTTGTTTCATGAACTTTATGATATAAGATTCTTGTCTAATGAACTTTTGATGTAAGATTCTTGTTTTATGAACTTTATGATATAAGATTCTTGTCTAATGAACTTTTGATGTAAGATTCTTGTTTTATGAACTTTTTTATATAAGATTATTGTCTAATGAACTTTTGATGTAAGATTCTTGTTTCATGAACTATTTGATGTAAGATTCTTGTTTCTTGAACGTTTTGATGTAAGATTCTTGTTTCATGAACTTCAGAAAAAAATTAATCAATTTACATCAAAGCTAAGTTAATATGTAACCTTAACCTATACTTTTGATGCTACACTCTAAGCTTAACTTATACCCTAACAGTAGAGTTATAATAAAACCTAAATATGATACGCTTGCTGTATTGCTTTGGAAGCCTTTAAATTGAAACCTGCATTCTTTTTTCAACAATAGCAAAGATCATAGATATTTCAATGAAGTATCTGCTAAACACATTTTAATTTTTAAAAAATCAATAATGAATTTACAGAGTTAATTAATTGTTTTATAAATAAAAAATGTCTATGTTTAATAATTTCACAATATATCTTTGTATTATAAATTCAGTTTTATAAATTCACATTGTATCTCTGTACTATAAATTCACATTATATGTCAGTTTTCACCTCAGTTTTATAAATTCACAATTTATCTCAGATCAACCTCAGCACTGGTGAAGTAACTTTAAAATCTGCACTAGATCGGGAGAAAATACAAAAGTGAGTTGGTGACTAGAAATATCAAATTAGCTCCTATTAAAAAACTGCTACAACTTCAGTCTTAACTTTCTCACAAACTGTATTAACCCTTAAAGAGCTATAGTTGTACATGATATGCATCCTTCTTTTTAAACATTTTTATTGGAAGGAAATCATTGCCTTAAGGTGCAACACAAATTGTAAGACTATTATAAGTGCTGGCAAAAATAGTTCATATTCAACATTCCTTTTTTCCTATTTCTTCTGTCTTCCAGGGGAGCAAAGGTGATTTAGTAATACCCCAAATATTCTCTAATTATTCGTCTCATCCAAACATTTCCAGCCACACCCTGCAAGTTCAAGTGGTTGACAAGCCAACCTCAGTAGACACCAGCCTCCACACTGCCACAGCAACCCTCACAGTTCTAGTGGGAGATGTCAATGACAACCCCCCAGTGATTGCAACCATCCCCCCTACAACAATCCCAGATACTCTGTCCGTCAACCGACTGGTGCTGAGAGTACAGGCGTCAGATCTTGATGAGGGGGTCAACGGCCTGATCACTTACTCCATCAACGCGGCCGGAAATGTTGGAGGCGCTTTTAAAATAGACTCGGCTGGAAACTTGTTGGTATGGTCACCATTCCAAGTGTTAAACTTTGTTTTGTTGTTGAACATGGGGTATATAAATATATAATGTATTGATATCATGTCATGACTACTTGAGTCATCTCTTTTATTTAGTAGACCATTGTATTTTGTTTTGTTATTTAAATTATCTGTTTCTTACCATTAATATAGTCATAACCATAATCTTATATAGCTAACATCATCACAGATGAAAAATGTTTTTAAATCTAGGGTTTAGTAGCATCATTCATATTTGTTTTATGAATAAGTAAATTAAAGAAGTTAATAACTTGGATGGGAATGTTTTTGTACATTCAGGATGTGATTAAAATTTAAAATTTGTTTTCAGGTTGCTAATGCCCTGAATGCCAACCAGGTAAACCACTACACACTAACCATCCAGGCCATAGATAATGGGGTGCCCCAGCTGGTTGCCACGGCAACAGCAGAGATCACAGTCATCAGCCTGAACAGGCCGCCCGTTTTTGACTCAAGCAGTTACCTGTTCACTGTGAGCGAGAACAGCCCTGTTGGAACAGCCGTGGGCCTGGTCAACGCTCAGGACATTGACCTGGGGGCAGAGGGTCATGTGACCTACAGTTTTGTGACCTTCACTCTTGGAAACTTTGCTCATTTCAAAATCAACTCCACCACAGGGGAAATAACTGTGGCTTATTCAAATATTGACAGGGAAACAGACGCCCTGTATAAAGGCATAGTTCAGGTAAATAAATTACTCTGTCTGGCTTTTCCTGTTTAACTAAATAGAGCAAATTAGATCAAACTGAACATTTTATCTAGTAAAAACTATTTTTGTTCTTTCACTAAATGTTATATTTACTCATCTATTCCTTATATTAAATTTTGAATTGGAATATATATATGAAAAAATAATTCATGTTAAAATTTAGATTGGAAACAAATTGATATTGGTAAAGTTATCAATTTTTGTAATACAAACTATTAAATGAAATGGATAGTGGGAGTCAGGGTCAAACAAACATTAGTATTTCAATTAACTACAAAAAAAACATGGATTGGAAATGAATTAGTTTTTAAAATAATTAAAATACTTGACTTTGACATAGGCCATGGATGGTGGAAGCCCTGGACTGACAGCTACAACAGAAATCTCCATTAGCATCACAGACGTGGATGACAACGGTCCAGTCTTCAGCCCCAGTGTGTACAGGATGGAGGTCAAGGAGAACCTACCCCTGGGCACCAGCGTCCTGCAGCTCAACAAGACAGATGCTGACACCTCAGCTAACGCTGGCGCCATCTACAGCATCATCACCACATTATCTGATGGCTCTGTTGCTGCCCAATATTTTCAGGTACATTTATTTTCTACATTGTTTTTATTCATTAGACACACAAATATATTCATATAAGGTGTAAAAAACAAGGTTTCCTTCTCAGACCATGCAGTCATAGGGCAGGTAAGGTAGAGTTGACCTGTTTCTTTGACCACAGAAATTATACAAAGGTCAGTTTTATGTCTGGCCTCTTTTACTTTTCCTAACACACAGGTACCCATCAAAGCTGGGTGAACTATGTGATCTCTTATGCCCTTAAGTCTGGCATCCAAACTCCAGACTTTTGGTTCAGCAGTTGAGTTATAAAAAATGTATTACTGATTAAAAGCTTACTACACTTTTAAAATCATAATTATCCTTATGACTAGGGATTTGCTTTAAAGTTATGATACGCTATTATCAGTGTATGGTTACTTGCCAAGCATGTCTATATGTTAGACTTGATGTATGATGTAGTTCTACTACGTACAAGCAACTGTTGTTGTATGATGTAGTTCTACCACGTACAAGCAACTGTTGTTGTATGATGTAATTCTACCACATACAAGAACCTGTTGTATGATGTAGTTCTACCACGTACAAGCAACTGTTGTTGTATGATGTAATTCTACCACATACAAGCAACTGTTGTATGATGTAGTTCTACTACGTACAAGCAACTGTTGTATGATGTAGTTCTACAACATACAAGCAACTGTTGTTGTATGATGTAGTTCTACCACGTACAAGCAACTGTTGTTGTATGATGTAGTTCTACCACGTACAAGCAACTGTTGTTGTATGATGTAGTTCTACCACGTACAAGCAACTGTTGTATGATGTAGTTCTACTATATACAAGCAACTGTTGTATGATGTAGTTCTACCACATACAAGCAACTGTTGTATGATGTAGTTCTACCACATACAAGCAACTGTTGTATGATGTAGTTCTACCACATACAAGCAACTGTTGTATGATGTAGTTCTACCACATACAAGCAACTGTTGTATGATGTAGTTCTACCACATACAAGCAACTGTTGTATGATGTAGTTCTACTATATACAAGCAACTGTTGTATGATGTAGTTCTACCACATACAAGCAACTGTTGTATGATGTAGTTCTACCACATACAAGCAACTGTTGTATGATGTAGTTCTACCACATACAAGCAACTGTTGTATGATGTAGTTCTACCACATACAAGCAACTGTTGTATGATGTAGTTCTACTATATACAAGCAACTGTTGTATGATGTAGTTCTACCACATACAAGCAACTGTTGTATGATGTAGTTCTACTATATACAAGCAACTGTTGTATGATGTAGTTCTACCACATACAAGCAACTGTTGTATGATGTAGTTCTACCACATACAAGCAACTGTTGTATGATGTAGTTCTACTATATACAAGCAATTGTTGTATGATGTAGTTCTACTATATACAAGCAACTGTTGTATGATGTAGTTCTACCACATACAAGCAACTGTTGTATGATGTAGTTCTACTATATACAAGCAACTGTTGTATGATGTAGTTCTACCACATACAAGCAACTGTTGTATGATGTAGTTCTACTATATACAAGCAACTGTTGTATGATGTAGTTCTACCACATACAAGCAACTGTTGTATGATGTAGTTCTACCACATACAAGCAACTGTTGTATGATGTAGTTCTACTATATACAAGCAACTGTTGTATGATGTAGTTCTACTATATACAAGCAACTGTTGTATGATGTAGTTCTACCACATACAAGCAACTGTTGTATGATGTAGTTCTACCACATACAAGCAACTGTTGTATGATGTAGTTCTACCACATACAAGCAACTGTTGTATGATGTAGTTCTACCACATACAAGCAACTGTTGTATGATGTAGTTCTACTATATACAAGCAACTGTTGTATGATGTAGTTCTACCACATACAAGCAACTGTTGTATGATGTAGTTCTACTATATACAAGCAACTGTTGTATGATGTAGTTCTACTATATACAAGCAACTGTTGTATGATGTAGTTCTACCACATACAAGCAACTGTTGTATGATGTAGTTCTACCACATACAAGCAACTGTTGTATGATGTAGTTCTACTATATACAAGCAACTGTTGTATGATGTAGTTCTACCACATACAAGCAACTGTTGTATGATGTAGTTCTACTATATACAAGCAACTGTTGTATGATGTAGTTCTACCACATACAAGCAACTGTTGTATGATGTAGTTCTACCACATACAAGCAACTGTTGTATGATGTAGTTCTACCACATACAAGCAACTGTTGTATGATGTAGTTCTACCACATACAAGCAACTGTTGTATGATGTAGTTCTACTATATACAAGCAACTGTTGTATGATGTAGTTCTACTATATACAAGCAACTGTTGTATGATGTAGTTCTACCACATACAAGCAACTGTTGTATGATGTAGTTCTACCACATACAAGCAACTGTTGTATGATGTAGTTCTACTATATACAAGCAACTGTTGTATGATGTAGTTCTACCACATACAAGCAACTGTTGTATGATGTAGTTCTACTATATACAAGCAACTGTTGTATGATGTAGTTCTACCACATACAAGCAACTGTTGTATGATGTAGTTCTACCACATACAAGCAACTGTTGTATGATGTAGTTCTACCACATACAAGCAACTGTTGTATGATGTAGTTCTACTATATACAAGCAACTGTTGTATGATGTAGTTCTACTATATACAAGCAACTGTTGTATGATGTAGTTCTACCACATACAAGCAACTGTTGTATGATGTAGTTCTACTATATACAAGCAACTGTTGTATGATGTAGTTCTACTATATACAAGCAACTGTTGTATGATGTAGTTCTACCACATACAAGCAACTGTTGTATGATGTAGTTCTACCACATACAAGCAACTGTTGTATGATGTAGTTCTACTATATACAAGCAACTGTTGTATGATGTAGTTCTACCACATACAAGCAACTGTTGTATGATGTAGTTCTACTATATACAAGCAACTGTTGTATGATGTAGTTCTACCACATACAAGCAACTGTTGTATGATGTAGTTCTACCACATACAAGCAACTGTTGTATGATGTAGTTCTACCACATACAAGCAACTGTTGTATGATGTAGTTCTACTATATACAAGCAACTGTTGTATGATGTAGTTCTACCACATACAAGCAACTGTTGTATGATGTAGTTCTACCACATACAAGCAACTGTTGTATGATGTAGTTCTACTATATACAAGCAACTGTTGTATGATGTAGTTCTACCACATACAAGCAACTGTTGACCATTCCCAGGTGGATCAGACAGGTGTGGTCAGCACCAGCGTCAACAAACTGGATTACGAGCAGGTCAAGAGCCTAAACTTCCTCATCCGAGCCACTGGGCCCAACACTCTGACTTCTTCGACTGCCTCTGTCTACATCACTGTCACTGATGAGAATGACAACGCTCCAAAGTTCAAGTTAGTATTTTATGGGAACCCTGTCTTGGTTTGATTCATCAATAACAAAACCATATGAGTCTTTAAACACTAGTCTTAAAATTTAATGGATGATATGCTTCAATTTATTTTTACAAATTAGACACTGGTTCATAGTAATAAAAACACTGTTCTCCATCCAACCATAAGGTGATTTTGTCAAAGACAAATAATGTATTAGTGCATGGATGTTTATGTTAAATGGTCAAGGAAGTGTGGGCGGCAGTATTCTATCAGTAATTGGTCAGTCACTTACAAAACACTGACTAGTTTCTGATAGCTACTGTCTTGCAACTTGATATCTCCCTGTCAAAAACTCTTGATGCCCCAAAGCTTTAATACCAGCTGAGGCAAAGTTAATTAGCTTATAGAAACAAACCAGTAAACAAAAGTATGAGTTAATATTTACAGGTAAAAAAATGCAGTTAATAAAAGCTTGAGTTGATATTTACAGGAAAAAAATCAGTAAATAAAAGGCAGAGTTAATATTTACAGATTTAAAAAAATATTAAACAAAAGCATGAACTGAAATTTACAATTAAAATAATCAGAAAATAAAATAATGAGTTGATGTTTACAGGTCAGAGTTTGTGAATGGTGAAGTGGCCTACAACAAAGAGTGCTCCACTAAAATAACAACAGTCACAGCCACTGATGCAGACACAGGGGAGAACGCTAGAGTTACCTACACTTTAGACAATTCAAATGGAGCTCTATTTTCAATCAATTCATTAACTGGTCAGTACCACTCTTTGTTCCATGGGTCACTCCTTTGTTTGATTGGTCACTCCTTTGTTCCATTGGTCACTCCTTTGTTCCATTGGTCATTCCTTTGTCCCATTGGTCACTCCTTTGTTTCATTGGTCATTCCTTTGTCCCATTGGTCACTCCTTTGTTTCATTGGTCACTCCTTTGTTTCATGGGTCACTCCTTTGTTTCATGGGTCACTCATTTGTCCCATAGGTCATTCCTTTGTTCTATGGTCATTCCTTTGTCCCATTGGTCACACTTTGTTCTTACAAATGACTCTACTAATAGTTTCCTGCTACCTTTACAGGGGAGCTAACCTTGGATGGCACAGCCCTAGCCAACAAGAAATACACTGTCCTTGTGAAGGCTAATGACAACGGTGTCCCACAGCTGACCTCCACAACAACAGTTAGGATTGACACTTTCATTCCTAAAGAAGTTGCCATTTCTTTTGCACTTTCTATAAGCAGGTAGGCTTTACTAATGCTTCTGTGCAATTTATATCAAAATATCATTACTGGTAGGTTCCATTTGATTATTAGTTCAAAACATGAAGAATATATATATATATATATATATATATATATATATATATATATATATATATATATATATATATATATATATATATATATACACACACACACACACACACACACACACATTAGAAAACATGATTTTGTGCACACAATTAATTTTGAGACTGAAGTTATCAGTTCACTTCTTGGGCTCAAGTCTCTAGGAGATCCTTGAGTCTAACCAGCCCTAATGGGTACCTGACATGAGTGCGCACAACACAATCCCCTAATATGCTGACACCTAAGAAACAGATAAACAATCTATTTCAACTGCAATAAGTGCCACAATGTCTTAGAATCTAGTGTTTTTTTAAACCAGTATTAACTGTTCTTGTGATTCATTCTGAAATTTTGTCTGAACTTTTCAGAGCCAGTTTTGTGGCTCAGCAGGATACCTTCATCAAAAACATGCAGGACGCCCTCCGCAAGAAATACCCTCAGGCTGTGCTCAGACTCTGGTGTGTTCAGGAGCGTGACGGAGCCATTGCCAGACGCAAACGCCAGACCACCAGGTATGAAATTTCAAATTAGTTCTGGCACTAAGTTTAGTTTTGGATATTACACTTTTTATTGCAGTATATAATATGATTTTATTGTGTTAGTTTTTCTCATGTTCTTGTCACATTACTTTGAAACAAAGTTATGAACTAAGTTTGACTTTGTATACCATGTACCTAACATCTTCACAGAATGCTTGGTATTTTAACACTTTGTCAGATCATATATTCTTAGTATTTTGCCACACCATTCTTCCATATTTCATATATATTTTAACAGAAATATATTTTAAACATTTCTTTTGTTAAAATTTCCCAGCAAACCTGTCACAGTGTCAGTCTATTCCCTGAAAGATGGCACCACAGAATCAGCAGACCAAATCACTCAGGATAAAATGTATCTCTCACAATCGGAGCTCCTGAGTGCTGTGTCTACTAATGGTGTACCCAACAGTGATATTGCAGGTGAGACCCATCGTGAAATCTCTGCTGTCTCATGGTTTGGTATTTATCTTCTTTTCCCGTTTATGTCCAAGACACATAGGGTAGTTGAAGTAGAGTTCATCTTTATCAATAACCTTGGCTTACAGGCGAATGGTGTGGATAGTATGCCCTGCCATCTTAGTTTCTCTAATGAGACTCTAGTACATATCAGAACTAGGTGAACTAAGAGACATCCTACTGACTCGAGTCAGGAATCGAACTTAGACATTTTGGTTAGCTGTCATGAGCTCTACCATCTTACCCCACCACTTAATTAAAAAAACAAATTTAGAGAAGTTTTTTTTATTTTATTATCTATTATAAACGATACTGCAGTCAATTTTATTTATGTTTCATTTAACCTGAATGATTTTTTCTGAATTTTTTTATAAGATATTTTTCCCCATTCTCACTCATCTATAAATGTGTCATCAATATTTCTCCTAGGATCAACATTTGCATACTTCAAAATAAATGAGGTGCAGAAGTACAGTGAGACTTCTTCCTCCAGCTATGACTGGTGGGATACAATATATGGACCAATCATCACAGCCATCTTGATAGCACTGGGGCTCATTTTGATCGCCATTGTCATTGTGTGCTGCTGGCGCTACCATCACAAGAAAAAGTACAATGCAATCTTTTTTACAAACATTTAGATTTAGAACTATCTTACCAGTACAAACTTTTGATAAAATACATGTTTTCTGTACACACCATTTATACAATCAACCTATTCCAAAAAGTACAATGCAATCTATTTTACAAACATTAAGATTTAGAACTATCTTTCCAGTACAAACTTTTGAGAAAAAGCATGTTTTCTGTGCATACCATTTATACATTCAACCTATTCCAAAAATTACAATGCAATCTATGTTACAAACATTTAGATTTAGAACTATCTTTCCAGTACAAACTTTTGATAAAATACATGTTTGCTGTACACATCATTTAAACATTCAAGCTATTCAATAAGTATTACCATTTTTATTTCTTTACAAATCATTAAAATACATACATCTTTAAATATAAACCATATTTTTATCCATAAGATATATAAACAACCCCAAATGTCATGAAATTAGCTTTATATCATACCCCAACAACAAGGATTAAGGTTTTAAACAAACTTTTTACCCAGGTCATCTGAGGACAGTTCCCTACAATCTTCCAGTCATGAAGCTTCCAACATTCCAAACCATCATCCAGCTCAGAGACATTTCAGAGGTGAACACTGCTTTTATTACATGCAGATAAAATAATCAATTCTTAATTAATAGCTTTTATTACATGCCAGATAAAAATAATTAATTCTTAATTAATAGCTGTTATTACATGTCAGATAAAATGTATTCTAATTATTAGCTTTTATTTTTGACAGGTAAAAATATTTGATTCTTAATGTCCTTCATATCAAAGGTCTCTATAAATGTGCAGTCCTTTGGCAAAACCTGCTAAGTCACTTACAATTGAATTTCTGGAAATCATCTTTTTAAAATATTTCTTTGTAACAAATCTTAAGGTTTTTTATTGTTCAATGTTAAAATATTCATTTTTAAATTTTGAAGTAGATCTATACCTGGTACAATAGTGTGGTTGACTTAGTGATTTTTGCAAATGGACTCCTCAAATGGTCAGTGAACTTTGCCATATTTGCACTCCCTGCTCTTTTATCACTTGTTCTCACCAGGATCCCACCCCCTCCCTACCCCAGACATTTTGCAGTAATAAAAGGAAAAAATATAATGCTGGGTCTCTTTTTAAAATACCATATTCTACAAAGTTTCTTTCAGACATTTCTTTTTAAGGGGGGGGGGGGGGGGGGGTTGGGTTCTGGCCTCTTGTAGCACCTCTTCTCACCCAAAATAAAAATCAAAAGAAATATCATTTATATAGAAAATGTATACTTTAAACAGTGTCTGCCCCCTCTCCTCCACCTACATGGAAATTAAAGTGCACCCCTCTAAAATTTTCAAATATCCCCCTTGTGAGTTGAGTTATACAAAAATTTTGTCAGTGTTGTAAAAAAATGTCTATGAGTAGTACAAAAATGTTGTCTGTGAGTTGTACAAAAATGTTGTCTGTGAGTTGTACAAAAATGTTGTCTTTGAGTTGTACTAAAATGTCTGTGTTGTACTAAAATGTTGTCTGTGAGTTGTACAAAAGTGTTGTCTGTGAGTTGTACAAAAATGTTGTCTGTGAGTTGTACAAAAATGTTGTCTTTGAGTTGTACTAAAATGTCTGTGTTGTACTAAAATGTTGTCTGTGAGTTGTACCAAAATGTTATCTGTGTAGTTTGTGAGCTATAACAACACATTTTGTCTAACAACTGTACCAAATTCTATTTCAAGGCTACAGAGATGTTGAATTTTATCCCACCTATCCCATGCCGTACCCAGTTAGAATGGTGAATGAAGAGTCCGAGGTGAGTTAATTTCTTGCTTGACACCAACTATAAGGTAATACAGTGGCATAGGCAGGCATTTCAAGGACCCTACTATTTCTAACATTTAAAAAATTAAAAAATTAATTTGGCTTAATTAATAGCATTAATTATTTTTATTTAATCTAGAGTATATTAGTAATTGTAAAATAAGAATTAAATAAACTGCAAGTGATCTCCCCTAAACATTCTTCTATACTTGTGTATAAAAGTAAGGGGTTGAGATAACACTACCAGAGGGATCAGGCTATAGAAATGGTTGGGATAACACTACCAGTAGGATCAGGCTATACAAATGGTTGGGATAACACTACCAGTAGGATCAGGCTATAGAAATGGTTGGGATAACACTACCAGTAGGATCAGGCTATAGAAATGGTTGGGATAACATTACTAGTGGAATCAGGCTATAGCAATGGTTGGGATAACACTACCAGTAGGATCAGGCTATAGAAATGGTTGGGATAACACTACCAGTAGGATCAGGCTATAGAAATGGTTGGGATAACACTACAGTGGGTTCAGGCTATAGAAATGGTTGGGATAACACTACCAGTAGGATCAGGCTATAGAAATGGTTGGGTTAACACTACCAGAGGGATCAGGCTATAGAAATGGTTGGGATAACACTACAGTGGGTTCAGGCTATAGAAATGGTTGGGATAACACTACCATTAGGATCAGGCTATAGAAATGATTGGGATAACACTACTAGTAGGATCAGGCTATAGAAATGGTTGGGATAACACTACCAGAGGGATCAGGCTATAGAAATGGTTGGGATAACACTACCAGTAGGATAAGGCTATAGAAATGGTTGGGATAACACTACCAGTAGGATCAGGCTATAGAAATGGTTGGGATAACACTACCAGTAGGATCAGGCTATAGAAATGGTTGGGATAACACTACCAGTAGGATCAGGCTATAGAAATGGTTGGGATAACACTACCAGTGGGATCAGGCTATTGAAATGGTTGGGATAACACTACCAGTAGGATAAGGCTATAGAAATGGTTGGGATAACACTACCAGTAGGATCAGGCTATAGAAATGGTTGGGATAACACTACCAGTAGGATCAGGCTATAGAAATGGTTGGGATAACACTACCAGTAGGATAAGGCTATAGAAATGGTTGGGATAACACTACCAGTGGGATCAGGCTATTGAAATGGTTGGGATAACACTACCAGTAGGATCAGGCTATAGAAATGGTTGGGATAACACTACCAGTAGGATCAGGCTATAGAAATGGTTGGGATAACACTACCAGTGGGATCAGGCTATTGAAATGGTTGGGATAACACTACCAGTAGGATCAGGCTATAGAAATGGTTGGGATAACACTACCAGTAGGATAAGGCTATAGAAATGGTTGGGATAACACTACAGTGGGTTCAGGCTATAGAAATGGTTGGGATAACACTACCAGTAGGATAAGGCTATAGAAATGGTTGGGATAACACTACAGTGGGTTCAGGCTATAGAAATGGGAGGTAAGTTTGTAACAAAACCACTGCTTGTTTTCTGAGAAATCACAGAAGCAGGCAGTTCTTAGAAAGAGAAAAACGCTCAAGAAAAACCTAACAAAAATGTGGGCTAGGCTAGGGCATTTATTTTCTGAAACAATTTTTTCTATGGTCGTTAGCAAAGAATGACTACATGTATATTTTAGCATAGTAAAACATTTGACCACAAAATATAACAAAATTAAGGTGTATTAGTGTAGTTAGTTTGCATTTTTCAGTTTGCCCAGTTTTCCTTTGTGCATTTTTCTGGAAAATGATATAAAATGTTTAAATTCTGAATGTATTTTGAGAAATGAGAAAAAGAGTAAAGTACCATTTCCATTTTCCAGAAATCACTCAAAATTTGACATGTGATTTAATATCTGTATAGGAAATTTCACAACCTAATAGAAACTACTCAAATTGTGGGTTGTTCTTTTTGAGAAACCTGACATAAAGTACCATTTACTGTAAACGGAATTGCCCAAAAGTTGAAAAAAAAACTAGGCTTAGTATTTAATGCTTATTTATGAAATTGTTTCCAGTTTATTGAAATGGTATACATCAGGGGTCGGCAACCTGCGGCTCGCAAGCCGCGTGCGGCTCTTTTGATATCAAGATGCGGCTCTCCAGCTCCTTGAACAAATACTAATAAACTTAAAAAAAAAAAAATATTTGAAATTAAAAAATGTTAGTGGCTCTTTAAAACCAGTGAAATATTGAAAATTGTAACTTTTGGCTCTTCCACCTCAAAAGGTTGGCTTCATAAGGTTGCCGACCCCTGGTATACATGAGGTTTTATGTTAAACCACATATATGCAAGACCCCTGGTATACATGAGGTTTTATGTTAAACCACATATATGCAAGCCGTCAAAATTGCTAAATTGGGAAAAAGAACTGTCAACCAGGACACAGGGATTAAAATATTTCAACTTCATTACATTATTATAAAATTACCTAAATCTGCAAATTTAGTATTTATTAATGCTATTTGAACAATACTAGAAAGATAATTTTAAAATTTAAGAATTTTTTAGAATAAAAAATAGTAGGTTTTTAATATTATGTTCTTTATTGCAATAAACATCGACTTATATTGTTTTTTTAAAATTTACTATTGAATTTATCTTTATTTTTAAAATCATATTACAACATTGTTTTAGGTTGTATCCCTTAGGTAAACATATTTTTCAAATGGGAAGTAACTCAAACAATTAAATATTCAATGTGAAAAACAAAATTTTCAAAATGTATTTCAGTATTTTGCTTCACCTCGACTGGCTTACAAGCAATACAGAGTGTAAATAAATTGTTGTCACTAGAAGTAAGTTTTTCCTATCATTAGCAGTACATTTTTTGTTAATGCCGTATGGACTTTGTGCTTAAAACCACTAGGTTTTTTGTTGTATCTTGTACTAAGTAGCAGTAAGTTTTTAAAAGTAATATTTCTATTCAGCTAAAATAGGATTCCTATTGTCTACATATTACCAGTATTTTGTTAGTATAAATCGAACTGATTAGTAGCCAGTGTTTTGTGATTACACATATTGCATTGTTTTATATTTTATATTTCAGCCCAATACTACCACGATACAATTCTCTCCGATGTTTTGATAATCATTTGATTTTTAAGCTTATTTATTTATTGACCACATTAAAGCATAGCAACAATATTTGATGGCAGCTTGCGTAAATAGTCACAAGCTTTGGGGGGTGGGGTGGTGCAGAAGCTTGATCAAAGTTGTAACATTACAGAGACATGCCTTTGAGTGTCACTTGTAAAAATGTGTGCCTCGTATACAAACTGTTAGTATCTGGTATACAAACTGTTAGTATCTGCTACACAAACTGTTAGTATCTGGTATACAAACTGTTAGTATCTGGTACACAAACTGTTAGTATCTGGTACACAAACTGTTAGTATCTGGTATACAAACTGTTAGTATCTGGTACACAAACTGTTAGTATCAGGTACACAAACTGTTAGTATCTGGTACACAAACTGCTAGTATCTGGTACACAAACTGTTAGTATCTGGTATACAAACTGTTAGTATCTGGTGTACAAACTGTTAGTATCTGGTACACAAACTGTTAGTATCTGGTACACAAACTGTTAGTATCTGGTACACAAACTGTTAGTATCTGGTACACAAACTGTTAGTATCTGGTACACAAACTGTTAGTATCTGGTACACAAACTGTTAGTATCTGGTATACAAACTGTTAGTATCTGGTGTAGAAACTGTTAGTATCTGGTATACAAACTGTTAGTATCTGGTACACAAACTGTTAGTATCAGGTACACTAACTGTTAGTATCTGGTACACTAACTGTTAGTATCTGGTACACAAACTGTTAGTATCTGGTACACAAACTGTTAGTATCTGGTATACAAACTGTTAGTATCTGGTGTAGAAACTGTTAGTATCTGGTATACAAACTGTTAGTATCTGGTACACAAACTGTTAGTATCAGGTACACTAACTGTTAGTATCTGGTACACTAACTGTTAGTATCTGGTACACAAACTGTTAGTATCTGGTATACAAACTGTTAGTATCTGGTACACAAACTGTTAGTATCTGGTACACAAACTGTTAGTATCTGGTACACAAACTGTTAGTATCTGGTACACAAACTGTTAGTATCTGGTACACTAACTGTTAGTATCTGGTGCACAAACTGTTAGTATCTGGTACACAAACTGTTAGTATCTGGTACACAAACTGTTAGTATCTGGTACACAAACTGTTAGTATCTGGTACACAAACTGTTAGTATCTGATACCTAACTGTTAGTATCTGGTACACAAACTGTTAGTATCTGGTATACAAACTGTTAGTATCTGGTACACAAACTGTTAGTATCTGGTACACAAACTGTTAGTATCTGGTACACAAACTGTTAGTATCTGGTACACAAACTGTTAGTATCTGGTACACTAACTGTTAGTATCTGGTACACAAACTGTTAGTATCTGGTACACAAACTGTTAGTATCTGGTACACAAACTGTTAGTATCTGGTACACTAACTGTTAGTATCTGGTACACAAACTGTTAGTATCTGGTACACAAACTGTTAGTATCTGGTACACAAACTGTTAGTATCTGGTACACAAACTGTTAGTATCTGGTACACAAACTGTTAGTATCTGATACACTAACTGTTAGTATCTGATACCTAACTGTTAGTATCTGGTACACAAACTGTTAGTATCTGGTACACAAACTGTTAGTATCTGATACCTAACTGTTAGTATCTGATACCTAACTGTTAGTATCTGGTACACAAACTGTTAGTATCTGGTACACAAACTGTTAGTATCTGGTACACAAACTGTTAGTATCTGGTACACAAACTGTTAGTATCTGGTACACAAACTGTTAGTATCTGATACCTAACTGTTAGTATCTGATACCTAACTGTTAGTATCTGATACCTAACTGTTAGTATCTGGTACACAAACTGTTAGTATCTGGTACACAAACTGTTAGTATCTGGTACACAAACTGTTAGTATCTGGTACACAAACTGTTAGTATCTGGTACACAAACTGTTAGTATCTGATACACTAACTGTTAGTATCTGATACCTAACTGTTAGTATCTGGTACACAAACTGTTAGTATCTGGTACACAAACTGTTAGTATCTGATACCTAACTGTTAGTATCTGATACCTAACTGTTAGTATCTGGTACACAAACTGTTAGTATCTGGTACACAAACTGTTAGTATCTGGTACACAAACTGTTAGTATCTGGTACACAAACTGTTAGTATCTGGTACACAAACTGTTAGTATCTGGTACACAAACTGTTAGTATCTGGTACACAAACTGTTAGTATCTGATACCTAACTGTGTGATAAATGTGGTGAACACAGGCAGTGATATCCAAAGGAAGAGACTTGTGTAAGAGAATGCCTGAATGATTTTCTTGAGTAAGGAGTGAGGGAGCTTATTGGTGGGCTTGATATGAAAAATACCTATTCATTAAAGTGTTCATGTACTGTGGTATGTTGGGTCCTTAATGGTAGAAATGGTGGTGATTGCGATTGTAGGAAAAAAAGTCACAGGAAAAAAAAACACAGGAAAAAAAAACACAGAAAAAAAGTCACAGGAAAAAAAGTCACAGGAAAAAAAGTCACAGGAAAAAAAGTCACAAATATATATTTGCATGATATTTGTTAATACTTTTATGTATTAAATATTTAGAGAGTGCAAATTAACTTAGGATTAATTAAATGTAATGTAATGTGTGTAGGCTGTATACGCATAGGAATTTTTATAATTCATCTAAAAATATTTATTATGAAGTATGTAGATTGTAATTATTTTAAACTTACGATTAGTAGTCCACGTTTTTCATTGTGTTTTTTTTTTAAATTACCATGAAAAGGTAAGTTCATCTGACTTGCTGCCCTCAACTCATGGCAACTATAGTTATGTTTAGTTCAACCACCTTTACTGCCCACATTTATCACGGTCATTACATAACAAAACTTAGGATCAAAACAGAAAGCCGACAAGGTTCAAATGCTGGCATTGACGCATAACGTCAACAACACAAAATAAGTTCGGACAACGCCTACTGAGGAGAGGCCGACCAGAGAATAGCCTATGGCAAAATGTGCCTAAGTTTCTTTTATAATTAACTTTTCTACCGCGTATTTAAATAAATACGTAACAAAAGGTGAGATTGTTGCGTTAATTATCTTAGAGTATTTTTACTTATAATTGTTATAAATCATAATGCTTTTAACGTCTATAAATAATTTATGCTATAAAAAAATACAACCCACAACAATAAACATACACAATTTTATAATTCTTAAAAAATTAATAAAAATATTTCTAAAAAGATTTTTGTGACTTTTTTTCTGTGACTTTATTTCTGTGACTTTTTTTCCGATAAAATTTTTCCACTGTGACTTTTTTTCTGTGACTTTTTTTCCTAGCAAAAACTGTGACTTTTTTTCTGTGTTTTTTTTTCCTGTGACTTTTTTTCCGTTTACCGGTGATTGCACCAGTCTGGTGAAGTCATGTGTACTGTAGGTCAGCTTGGTACCGGTGGTGTCACTAGATTAGGTGTCACCCAGTTATTGAGGGTGTCACCCCACCCTACTCCAACAATTGTACATTTTGGTGTCACCACTTCCAACCCTGGTGGTTGTAGTGAGTGGTTGCTGGCTGCTGACAAATACAACGTTAAACACAGTTTAAACCCAATCAAACAAATAGCTTAAAGTGCTGATCTGATGGAACTTGTAGAGGTCTGGCATAAGCTGACACCTCTGGGGTGGTAGGGGGTCCAGAATGGAAATTTTTTTTTAACAATGTGAAATTTATGGAAGCTGCCAATCTGTGTACATTTTAGATAGATTTTATTTTGTAACTTCTTTAAATATTTGATAAAATGTTTTCAAACATTCCATTGTAATTGTTGGCTGTAATTATTACTAATGCTCATTGTTGTTCACAAAGTTTATTTTAATATTCAATGTATGTGATCCTTTTTTATTTTATCCAGTGTGTTCATATGTTATTTTTTATGATCTAAATATCTTATATCTACCTGTATGATGTACATAATAAAAATATGATGTACACTAAGCATAATTTTATATATATATACACATGTTTCTCTATTAAATATTTTCATTGTACACAATTGATTTTTATTTGTTTTTTTACTGACCTATGTTGTGTAACGTTTGAATAGATTTATGTTGTGTATTGTTTAGGGGGTACATCTGACTTCTCTACATCTGCAAGTTCATTTAATCAGTATCAAGATTAAATGTGGAAAAAAGAGTTGAGGTAAAAATCATCTGTAAATGACGTCGAACGGCGGAGTGGTAATAAACGGGGGGGGGGGGGGGGGGGGGGTGGGGTTGTAAGATATTTTTAACAATGGGAAGGGGAGCTAAAAGTTGTGGACCCAAACTTCAGCATTTTTTTAAAAATCTTTGTTTAAACAAATTTTAGAAGTTAGTTTTGCATTTCCACAGAATTGATCAATGTAGATCAACCGAATATTGAACTCATTTACAATCTTTGTATCATAATTATAGTCAGAGTTTCTTCCAGGCATCTCTTCGGGGAACAAAGTCTACCGTGCCCCACCCCCGAACGAAATGGAATTTGTATAGAAAACATATACTTTTACCAGTGTCCGCCCCCCCCCCCCCCCCCCCCGCACGAAAATGTTGTACCCGAAAATATAAAGTGCCTCCCTGGAGAAACAAGTTAATTAAAAAGTCTAGTGACATTTAAGCGCAATTTCCTTATGTTATCTAAAAATAGCTCTGTCGTAGCGTAAATCAAGAGCAGGGTTAGTAAGACCATTGGTTAAAATACATGTTTTATTTACAATATAGTTACATGACTAAAAAACCATTGCGCGCCTAGCTACTGAACGTGATTGACGCAGCCATTGAACGTGATGGCGCCGCTATTAAACGTGATGACGCGTGTGGTGGTGGTTGGAAAAAATGCCTACTAATTCGGTCAAAATTTTAATTAATTGAAAAAAATTTTGTGACCGAACGAAAGGATATTTTTGAAAACTTTCTTCGGCAATATTGTTCTAAATTATAGCAGGAATCGATTGGTACATGTTTCAAGTCGCTAAGTTGTCTGGTTGCCGAGATATGGGCCAAAAACTGCATTTTTTCGAGTTTTTTTGGCTTTTCCGGGAAATACATGAAAGAAACCCGGAATTTTTATGGCCTATGCTCATCCTCGTAACTTACTTAACATAATTGCTTTTGGAACTAGTCATCGATATTGCTTCGTTGAGGAGGAGATACGACTTAAAGCTGCGGACACACATTCATACATCCATCCATCCATCCATTCATCCAGAAATGACGGGTTAATAAACGCAATTCTCCAGAATGGAAATTGCGCTAAAAAGTCTGGAAGAAACACTGAATATACAGATTTGTGATATTTTCTTGAATTCATTCAGCTAAAGATATTAGTATCATATTGTGATTAGCGATGTTTGTTTCAAATAAGAATAACTGAAATAATCAGATTACTTTTTTTAAATTTCTAAGTGTGACATCACACTTTTTATATTCCCGTCACCCTCGTCACACATGGTCACAACCTGCAAACAAACATGTTTATGGATATCCAAAATAAGTTATTCTCAGATGAAATCACGGAAGCTCAGTATGGTGGAACTTTAGGGTGACCGTTGGTGGGATGAGGTAAAGGATAACTGTGCATTGAAATGTATGGCCACGGGATGCCAAATCCGAAGAAAAGGGTCTCCAAGTTCGAGTACTACGTTACTGGATCTCTGACCGGAGTCATTCCAGAGAAGGTGTGTGTTTATAGAGCGTTCACGTATTACATTACCGGTCATGATCGCGGTCTCACAAGAGAAGGTTCGTGTCTATAATTAGGAAGTGAACCACGTGACAGCCAGCTACACCTTATTTATGAGTTTCCCGACTGCATGTTGGGATTGTCGTGAATGCCGGTATTTTAGACGTGAGAGAAATCAGGACAACTTTACAATAAAGCGAACTCTGCCCGATGTATCAAAACAGTACAGACTTCAAATTTTTTTTTTAGAATCCATACAATGTTTTAAAACCAAAATCATTATGGTCTAACTATTGTAAAGGGTATTCCTCCAATAAAAAATATGTGCTGAATCACTCAGTAAATGCCTTTATAGTTCAACAAATTCAACGATCGCGTTTATTAGGGGAATATCAATGACTACCTAAACACTACCCTTCAACGATGCCCCTTCCTACCATTGGTAGAGGATGTATATAACAATTTGGATAAATTCGGTAAATTAATAATTCTGTTTTGGAACTGATGAATCCTTAAGATGATACAAAATGGCAACACTTTTAACTTTCTTCCCGAAAAATAAAATAATAAATCACTCTTTTGGATGCCCACCTGATGTGAATTCCCAGCCCCCCCCCCCCCCCAACAAGAAAGTCAGGCCTAGCGTTCATAAGATCACTAACTGTCTACTACAGG